CTCATCAGTGCCCTCCCAGATGCATACACTGCCATGGACCACATCCAGCTGATTTCCCAGAATGCCTCCTGCGCCCTAAAGGCAACACTAAACATACTAAAGCTCAACAAGCAGAGATCCGCAAATCCTGCGCCATAAACCTCGCAAAAGCTCGAACTGAAGGAGGATGTAGCTCTCAGCTTTCCATTGGCACACAAGAAACACCTATGGCATTAGATGAGATGCCAACTCAGCCTCCAACCCACAAGATTATCTCTCCTTTCCGTTTAGTAACCCCCCCACCTCGCGCCCCAACTGAAGATCCTCCAATTACAGCTCGCGCAGTCCACTTTACAACACCTCAATCACAAAACTGGTTCGCCTCTCTTCTTGAACGGGAACTATGATCTATCACTATCCAACTCAGAAGGCGCCTCTCAAAATCCTACAGCTAAATGTAGGGCACGCGCCAGATGCACATGAAATAGCTCTCACATTGGCATACACAAGCGATATTGATATTATCCTAATCCAAGAACTATATACTTTCAAAGATCTTAGTTGACAGACCACTAAAAAACACCCATCATATGAATGCTTCTCCCCAACTGACAGTTGGGCGATAAGTGGCCGACCACGAGTCCTCACCTATGTTCGAAAGAAGAAAGGCGTTCGGACCTCCCAGCTCCGCCCCTTCACAACTGACACTAAAGAGGCCTCGGATCTCCTGTTCCTTCAGATTTTCTCACCCACAGGAAAGTCTGCTCTGATAGTCAACATCTATAACGCCCCAGCAGGCTCCATCAGAGCAGGTGAAGCCGCGAAAGCTCTCACAACCCTGCCAGAGGCGTATCTCCCTCAAGCAACAATACTTGCAGGCGATCTCAACCTACTACACAATAGATGGCAGCCCTCGCTACATCGCAGCCCCACACCTTTCGCAGAGCCATTTATTAACTGGCTGGATCTCCAGGGTCTAGTACTCATTTCCGACATAGACTGTCCCACACATGAAAGGGGTAACGTGTTAGACCTCAGTTTCGCCTCAAGCCCTCTGGCACTCGCAGGAGCCAAAGCTAGCATAGCGAGCCACTTAGATGCAACCTCAGATCATCAACCACTAATTACCACTGTTCCATGGGATCAGAGATACAAGGAAACAGCTCAGAAACTGAGATTTGACACACTAGATCACACTTCCTTCCTTTCGCTCCTCGCCTCTAATCTTGCTGGCACCGAGAGCTCAGCCGCGACAGAAGAAGATCTTGATGCTTTCGCCGAAAAACTGACATCTGCAATTCAAGGAGCATATAAAGGCTCTGCTAAGAGGACCATGACACAAGGCATAGGACAACCATGGTGGAACGAAGACTGCAAGAAAGCTTTACACAATTACCGCTTAGGCCTCTGCTCAAAGATAGACTTCTGCAGGATAACTAGATGGTCTCAACGACAATTTTGGCGAGAGAAGCTCTCTATGGTAACACAAATGAAGGATGTTTTTGACATGAGCAAATGGCATAAGTCTACAGGCATCTTCCGAAGCCCTCCACTAAAAGATCCGCTAAGGCCCAACAGCCTCCCAGCAGTTACTGTACACGAGAAACGAGACGTACTAGTCCGCAATCTTCTCCAGAACTCGGCAGAGGCAGGAGACATACCTCTGGACTCCCCAACAGTGCCTTCCACTAGTCTCTACTTCCCAGATATATCGATGCTACAAGTGGAGGAGTCAGTACTTCAGGCAGGAAACACAGCCCCTGGCGCAGATGAAATCCCAACCTGTATACTCAAAGTAGCCTGGCCTCTGATCAAAGATAAGGTACTAATGCTATATCAAGGGTGCCTAAAGATTGGTCATCATCCTAAATGCTTTCGACACGCAATCTTAGCAATCATCTAGAAACCAAAAAAGACTGATTGGTCTTCACCTAGATCATACAGACCAATCGCTCTCCTATCAGTACTTGGCAAAGGACTGGAGCGCTTGGTGGCACGGAATATGGCATGGATCTTTATACACCATAAAGTATTAGCAAGGCAACAATTTGGGGCTCTCCCACTAAGATCTGCAACTGACCTGACCACATGCCTAACACATGATGTTGAACAAGCGCTAAATCAAGGCATGACTGCCTCACTCCTTACCCTAGATGTCAAAGGCGCCTTTGATTCTGTACTTCCTGGCAGACTGATCCGCAGACTACGCGAGCAGGGCTGGCCTACCAATCTCGTTCTCTGGATTGCCTCCTTCGCTACTGGAAGATCAGTTCAGATCCGACTCGATGGAGAGATCGGCCCCTCAACAGACATTACCTGCGGTCTTCCACAAGGATCCCCAGTATCTGGCATTCTTTTCATGCTCTACATAGCGCCTCTATTCCGTCTAGGAAACCCAAGGAACAGATTTGGTTACGCGGACGACGCAGCCAACCTGGCGATCTCAACTTCTCTTACTACTAATTGCGAAGCCTTATCAGACTTATTTTAAGAAGCTCTTAATTGGGGCGCTGCAGAGGGCATTACATTTGCACCAGATAAATACGAGCTTCTTCACTTCTCCCGATATAAAGCAGACCAGGACCCAACCCGCACACCTTCAGTGAAAGCTGGATCTATTACAATATCAGAAAACACTAAATGGCTATATCTATGATGGCTAGGAATCCTCTTTGACAAAAAGCTAACATTCAAATGGCACGTTAGAGAAACAGCATCTAAAGCCCTCACTGTGGCCAACGCTCTTCGCTCTCTAGGGAATACTGTTCGAGGAGTCAAACCTGATTTACTACAGTAGGCTGTATCAGCCTGTGTACTCCATAAAGCATACTATGGCGCAGAAACCTGGTGGCCAGGACGTACTCGCCCTGGACCTTCCCAGATTTCAAACCGAGTTGGAGAACATCTTGAGAAACTAACTAAAGTAATACTAACAGGCGCAAGAGCAGTCCTTCCAGTCTTCCGCACAACCCCAAAGCCAGTCCTTTATCGAGAGTCTGGATTCTCTCCACCAGAAATCGAACTAGATCGAATAGCCCTCCTTGCAACTGTCCGCCTACGGCGTCTCGACCCTTATCACCCACTTCGAAGACGCGCAGAACAGATCGCTAGTAATGGCCGACAAATCAGCCGATTTGCCCGCTGTACACTGGCCCTCCCAAACTCTGAACAGATAAACCCTCTCCAATACGCTCCCTGGTACCCTCGCGAGCCTCGTGGGAATGCTCAAGCTCGAATAGGAGCTCCCATGGGACGCACCAAGGAACAGGCAGCGGCTAATTTCATGGCTTTTCAACGTACCATCCCTAGCTCAGATATTGTAATCTTTTCAGATGGATCTAGGCTAGCAGACGGACGTGCAGGGGGTGGCTATATTGGACTTCAAGCACACCATCAGTTCCTCCGCTCCTCACTCTCATACGGACACGGGAAAGAGGTCTTCGACGCAGAAGCAGAAGCAGCTCTAGCTGGCGCTCAAGCAGCAATAGCGTACCCAACAGCTCAATTTGCTACCAACCTATGGATCTGCCTTGACAACCTGGAAGTTGCTATACGCCTTTTATCTCCCTCTACAGGATCTTCCCAAGAAATCTTTGAATCCTTCCGCACCCTTGCAGCCGCCTGGCCACTTCGCAAAAGGCTTCCTCACACCAAAAGCGGATCTATCCAAATCCGATGGGTCCCTGGACACGCTAAAATCCCTGAGAACGAAGCGGCTGATCTCGCTGCCAAAGAGGGAGCTGCCTCAATCCCTCCTGATCCTCACAAATCCTCATACGCCTCGCTAAAGAGATACGCCAAGACTCAATCCCTATCCGCTGCTCAGTCACAATGGGAGAAGGTGGCACCACAGAGCTATCAAGATCTAGAAATAACCACTTCCCCTAAGCGCCCTGGGGAGCTTCAACTCAACCGACTTGACCTCGGCCATGTTATTGCGGCCCGTACTGGTCATGGAGACTTTACAGACTACCATGAACGCTTCAATCATGATGATGCTTATCTTCTCTGCCGATGCGGAGCACGAAAAGCACCTCTGCACTTCTTCTTCTGTCATATAGCTAAGAGATGAGCCCCTCGGCCTCCTGGGCCCCCTTCTGAGGTTATCTCTTTTCTCTTAGGCACTGCTAAAGGAGCACAAAAGCTAGCCTCATGGCTAGCAGAGACCCACTTCTATGAGGATATCTGCCCTCGCCAACCTCTCCTTAGCACCTAGCTAAGACAGCCCTACTCTTCCTTTATATTTCTCTTCTCCTTCTTTCTTCCTCTTCTCCTTCTTTCTTTCTCTTCTCTTCTTTCTTTCCCTCTCTGCAAAACTTACTGTTTAGGTATAATAGTGGTGGAGTAATAGGTCATGGAGTGTAGGCGGACCATTGCAGCTGGCAAATACCTAAAACCCACTCAAAGTGGACCTCCCTGTAAGACCACGGCAGCTATGGAAATGCGCCAAAGAGTCTCTTATTTGTACATAAATCTGATAGGACCCGAAACCCGAGGCTTACCCCTCGGCGGCCTATGTCCCAGTAGGGATCGGTGGGAAGCGTGCGAGTCACGAACCACGGCCGTTAAATATACACACACACACACACTCTCTCTGCAAAACTTACTGTTCAGTTATAATAGTGGTGGAGTAATAGGTCATGGAGTGTAGGCGGACCATTGCAGCTGGCAAATACCTAAAACCCACTCAAAGTGGACCTCCCTGTAAGACCACGGCAGCTATGGAAATGCGCCAAAGAGTCTCTTATTTGTACATAAATCTGATAGGACCCGAAACCCGAGGCTTACCCCTCGGCGGCCTATGTCCCAGTAGGGATCGGTGGGAAGCGTGCGAGTCACGAACCACGGCCGTTAAATATACACACACACACACACACACACACACACCTCGTTCTTGGGGACAAGTCACAATATTAGGAATCAAGATATCTTCATATTGTCAGGCTCATTAGGCCGCTTCGTGTTCGCGCCTTACTACCGTCTATGCTTCGTGATACGGACCGTAGTTAAACCAACAGAAGGGTTCATAGACCCCATTCTACCGATTAACGCCTCAACCCCCCAGACGCCTCCTAGTTCGGCGAAAGAATTGCGAGGATCCTACCGACTTTTATCACGCAATTTAAAACGAGGCCCAGACGATTTTAAAGGGCTAACTAGTCCATCGAGGAAAAAGAAAAGAGCGAATAAGAAACCCAACCATCTTGGACCTAGTAAAGTGGATGCAAATTGTAAGGATGTAGCGACAGCAGAAAATACTACTACTCATCAAACAGGCTCTACCAATCGACCTCTGACAGTAACAGCGGATACAGTCACAACGAATACCATGTCCGCAGCTGATGACACCACTTGCACATCATCGCCAACCGATTCCTTGGTGCTGGGTGCGCAATCCCACCTGCCGACCTTGTTGAACCCTGTAAAAGCGGTTGACACCATGACAAGTATATTATGGAATTGCGTGAAGCTCAATAATACTATTAGCAAGTATGGTCGGCAAACTCAGCAAATCTGGTCCACCACAGAAGTCGAAAAAATGCGATTGTACGTGGACGATATCGCGCAACGTGAATATGAAGAGGCGGTTCGTATTGTGAGAAGAGACAACGCGCTTTAGAAGCTGGAGGTGCAAGTAATGGAGACAAGGAAGACCGTGCTGGGAGCGGAGCATCCCTCCACTCTGACCAGCATGGCAAACCTGGCATCAACCTACCGGAATCAGGATCGATGGAATGAAGCTGAGAAGCTGGAGGTGCAAGTAATGGAGACAAGGAAGACTGTGCTGGGGGCGGAGCATCCCGACACTCTGAGCAGCATGAATAACCTCTCCTATACTTGGAGATCTCAGGGGAAAATACAAGATGCATTAGCTCTGATGAAACAATGCTCTCATTTGAGAAACAAAGTATTAGGGTCCAGCCACCCGCATTCCGTGTCATCCTCTCGTTCTCTTAATGATTGGATGGATGAGTATAATTCATTAAGAGATCAAACACCGCTCACTGAGAATAGTTGTCTACAGCCTCTGCGAGAAGTTTTAGCAGACTCTACAGCAGCTGTGCAAAACTCCCAAGCCACCCGTGGAATCAATCTTACTTATGCCCCAGCTGTTAAATTATTCCTTGGAAATCACCCGCTCATCATAGCTGCTAGAACACCCTCGCCTAGGGCCGAAGGCCAAGACATACAAGATGTGGATTAGTTTGGTGCCGCCATATTTTCACCATACAGCTGGACAAAATACAACTCATATGAGTAGTGCAGTCTCAACCTTGCAACATACATATAGTATGTGCACATTATTGTGTTCTAGCATAGTACTCATCTAGGCGCAGATATGACGTAGACAACGTTTGATACTCCGAAACCACTTAAAGTTCATCTAATTAATGACGCGGCTCAGGTCATATTGCACGAATATAATCCCAAACGAGGGCTGGGTCTGTTGATAGTAGTATAGACAACTAAGTTACAAACTATGCCTAGCTTACCAAATCATTGTACTGGTACGTCCCGTACGTATCGTAAATTACCTAAATACCGGTCTAAACCTAGTATAGATTAGGGTACGGGAGTGGCGCCGAGAGAAAGTCGAAGAGTTGCAAAACATGTAAAGCCGCACTTGCAAGGCGCTGTATAGAGCTTATATGAATGTCTTATCTTCCGCGATATATATATCACACCGTCGACATAAACTAACCTCATATCATTAAACCATCACCAAACAGCTACTAGAGATCATCAGAAATAATAATAGACACTATTTTTGATTCTATAGAATGTATTTGTAAGCAAAAGTGTCACGGTTCCAACCCCGAGCCAGGTTGACACCCCAGGATGTACGAAGGCGGTGGTTTCACAACGCCAAGGAAACCGCCGGAGATCTTTGTTCTATGAGTTTCACGTCTTGGGAATAGCTTCACCAAGCGCTTTGTTATTTGTTTTGTTGCATGTCTTCGATTATTGATCTTTGTATGGATTTGGAGGCACTTCCATTGTTTCCATTGTTTTGGCGAAATTTGACAAGGTGAACGTAGAGAGATATGAGTATAGACTGACGGGCTGTCGCTGTTACAAGACCAAAACAACGCTTAATAACGGTAAAAACCTAGAATGAGTCAGCATTTTATGCATCCCAAAAAGGAAACTCTTGGCAGAATAATATATCTGCGGTTCTATATGGTCCAAACCGCGTCTAAACCGCACGGTTCTGCAGTGCGGTGCGGTTCAAAAGTCCAGGAACCTCAGAACCGCACGGTGCGGTGCGTGGTTCTCTATGTTGGAACCGGAACCGCACCATTCTGAGGCCTAAATATAACAGCTCAATTCAATGTTTATTCCAGCAGCTAGGCTAGGGAACTAGACATGAGGAAGGAAAGGGAAAAAGAAGAAGGGTGCCCTAAAGTTATCCACTGATATCTCGAGCTCTATTGCGTAACCATAGCTTAATGTTACGGGCTAGTCCCGCCTAATGCTCACTATAAGGGCATATTCGAATAGAAAACATAACATGAGGAAAGGAAAGAGAAAGAAAACAACAAGTTCTTCACGCAGGTACAATCTTATATAGGCAAGGGGAATCGGGAGCTTCTGACAGGCTTCTCTCTAGGAATAGTCTCATGTCCGGGTCGCTAAGATTATTAGGGTTGCCGGAGATCGACAGAGAGCGCTATTATCAATATCCGGTCGGATATTGGATGTCCACTCGTGATCTGGGAATAGCTTCGTGTTCGGGGCTGTCGGAAATCGGCGAAAGACGCTATTGTCAATATCCGTGAGGGCTTCGCCTGAACATGCTCATGAGGTCAGCTCATAACACTTAACTAAATCTAACCCTACATTTGTCCTTCACCATTTTCTGCCTCAGGCTCTGTCATGCTATAGTTATGACCATCAGATGTGGATCTATTTGAATGTAGATCTATATTAATCTAGATCTGTTCTAAAGTATAAATATGTTCAAAATAAACGTTAATTTAACTGTGGATCCATTTAACTGTACCATGATACATAGTAGATCCGTTCAAGTGTGGACCTGTTCAAGTGTGGATCCGTTCAAGTATGAATCCGTTCAAGTGTGGATCCGTTTAAGTGTGGATCCGTTCAAGTGTGGATCCGTTCAAGTGTGGACCTGTTCAAGTGTGGATCTGTTCAAGTGTGGACCTGTTCAAGTGTGGACCTGTTCAAGTGTGGACCTGTTCAAGTGTGGACCTGTTCAAGTGTGGGTCTGTTCAAGTGTGGATCTGTTCAAGTATGAATCTGTTCAAGTGTGGATCCGTTCAAGTGTGGATCTGCTCAACTAAATCTGTTCAATTGTGGATTCCTTCGACCAGATCCGTTCAATTGGATTCGTTTAAATGTGGATATTGTTAGTCCTGCAAGAGGCTCTAAGTGTAACGGCTCAGTCAGTCGATGCCTGATGAATGCCTTAAAGACTTGCATGTGACCTCAATATATATTTCCCAAACCCTACGCCAAGCAGGACTAAATTACTTTTAGAGAAACTTCATTACAGCCCCACTTCGCTGTACCATGTATTTTACAGAGGAGCGATTCATAAGTCATTGACAACGCAAGTAATTTTGGCAGGCTTGGCAGTAACGCCACTTACACGAATACTCTCAAATTGTATTAAATTGCATCAAATTGAATCTGTTCAAATAGCTGTTAATAGAAAGAGAATGATAGACTCAGTTAGGGGTGCACACGAATAAGGATTTTCTTATTCGTATTCGAAATGTATATGAGATACATTATTCGTATTCGACTACCATTTTCGGGGCCATTATTCGTATTCGATTCGTAATTATTCGTAGAATTACTAAAATACCACTAATCCTATTTAAGTCATAACATGTCGCGTCAGTTTCGATAGACGCGTGTTTACCGTTCTGCTGTATTTCTTTGAAAATGGTTACTTCAGCTATTTCCTCTTTCAATTTATGAATGAGTCTTCTGCATCTTTAGGCAAGCATCCTCAGCGCTCTCAAAGGATTGATTATCATTTTAATGATGGCAGCGATGAGGAAGTACCTCTGGAAGATCGCATCACCAAGAGAACTCGTTTAATTCAACTGGATAATAGCATTGACCCTATTACTCCTGACGACTCAGTAAGTCAATTAATCTAAGCCCGGAGTCCGCTAGCAGATATTTCCTAGCAGGAAGCGTCAAGCAACATCAAACTTGAGACATCTAGCATCTCTTGCGATCCTGAGCGCTCACAGAAGAGGCTGCAGAATTAGTTATTATGGGCAAAGTTTGATATCGTACCTCTCCCTGGAAGTCATTGGTGGCCAAAGAGAGGAAAAGGCCCACTTGAAGATCGTGAAATATGATGTACTCGATATAGTTGGAAGACGACCAATTCTGCAAGAGCAACCTCAACATCAAAGATGCAATTTCATCTTAATAAACATGGTGTCTTTTCGAGCGGAACTGTAAATAGTCAAGAAGATAACAAATCCAGCATAAAATAATCATCTATTATCAGTTCCTTTCAGAGACAAGCAGAGAATCAGGCAGCAAAACACTTAGAACAGAATCTGGTGCGTTGGATAGTAACGGAGAATATGGCATTCAATGCTATTGAATTACTAATATTCTAGAATATATTCAGAGATCTAGGGATTGAGCTTCCATTTACATCCCGCATGACAATTACTTGCTGAATCGATGCAGAATTTGATTCTTATCGAGCATGTTTGATCGACGATCTGGATCAGACATGTTAAACAATTGCACTTTTCTTAGATGCTTGGACTAGCAAGAATTGCAAGGCTATATTCGCAGTTATCGGTTATTGGTTGACAGCTGATTTTCAATACCATGAGAGAGTTCTTGACTTCACAGAGCTCACTGGCATTCATAGTGGAGAGAATATGGCAGAGGTACTCCAGACGACCTTGGAAGAGCTTAATATTGAACATAAAGTGCTCACGATTATAGCAGACAATGCTGCTAACAATGAGACTTTGATGCCAGAATTATATTTCAATCTCAAAGAGAAATTTGATAATATGGTGTCTCCTGCCAATGGCGAAAGAAAACTCCAGAGATTTCAAGGGCTGGATAGCTATATGTGCTGCATAGCGCATGCACTAAATCTGATTGTCAGTGATATACTGTCTATGTTGAAAGCCGGCAATCATAAAATAGCAGTGGCAGCTTGTGATCTTATACAGGAGAACAAAGATATAGGTCCACAGTCTGCATTATCTAGACTCCGGATCATGGCCCTTTGGATAGCGAGAACACCCCAGCAAAAGTAGCAATGGAAGCTCATCTATCAAACTCATCGTTTGAAGGATAAGTTTATCCAGTATGATGTTGATATATGTTGGAACTCCACCTACCGAATGCTAAGAGATGCATTGGATTCAAAACAGCAAATAAAAAAGTGGATTGAGTATCAAACTTATCTTCCACCCTTCACTAAAGAAGAATGGGATCATTTGCGGCAGATTGAGACTGTTCTTTCTAGATTTGAGGAGTTTACTCTCACTGTTTTAAAGCGCCAACCACAGGTCAGCCTAGCAATACCTATCTACTATGAGGTGCATGATCTATTGCATGAAGCTGTTTCTAGAAAAGGAGAATTTCAAGATCATTATGAAGATATTAATGCAGCTATATCTGTAGGTCTGAACAAATTTTGGAAATACTACAACCTAATGGATGGTCAGGATGCCTGCTAGGCCCAATGCGGTACCGATGTCGACCTATATAGTGGGCAGTCCTATGATCTATTGTTAATATCGCTAAGTTGATCGATGTAGCCTCACACTTCACTAACCAGAATTGAAAATTCTTACCGCTAGAAATGTACGATGGAAAGATCTGACTCTTGCTAGTCACTATTTTACGTGTCTCGATTATCGAAATTAGTCAATCTTCAAGTGTTATGTCCTGGATTCCGGCATAGTTTCTAATCTCCCACATCATTTGCACCCACCCTTTCACGTCTTCTGGGCTCATGGTGTCCTCGTCTTCGGTATCATCGCCTAGCCAGTCACCAAATTCATCTAGGGGATCAAAATCGTTGTATCATACTAAGATGAATGATTTTCCTTTGCGATATGTAAATTTGAAATCTCTGTTGACTAAGCAATATACTGGTCGCCTCCCATTTCCACTCTGATCTGCAAACCAAAAACCAATTAAAACGCCTTCATGGATGAATATGGGAGTCGAACACTGTTCACAATCTGGGTCATCCTTCTCAACAGTAATATCTTGTTGGGAGTCACTTTCTATCTCTATTGAAGGGATTGGTTTGTCTGGACAACTCCTTGATAGTATTGTGTATCGCTTTTTTGAAGCGGGCTGGATCGAAGGACTCTTATCTTGTTCCTGTTTACGTTTTGAGGATAAGCGGCGAGATGACTCTGAGATAGACTGTTGAGTCGGCAATTTATGGCTTGTTATGTTTGCTTGAACAACTGCCAGGAGTACTTGATCAAATTGATGGATGAGTTCACAAAACTACCACTCTCCATAATTAGCATGCGTCTCTTATGGTGATACTGGGCACTATACATCTTGTCTGATGTCCCTAGGTTTCTTTTGGTGGTTAGAGAGAAGTAAAAGGGAAACAGAATAAAAGTGCGGACAGAGGCCTTTATGTAGTCGGACCACTAAGTATTTTGGCATCCTAGGACGCCAAAACCTAAACCGTGTCTGTGATGCTACAACTAATCATAGATTAAGCGAAAACACACGGTGAGGTAGATCGATAGAAGTGGCTTGCTACCAGGTTCTTCCAGTACACTTGAGCATGGATTGATGGTTGTTTTAAGAATTCAAGGACCACTTCGAAACAGATTCTGCCTATCCAAGGACACATACACAATTGTACGTGCCCAATCATTGATGCAGGAACCAGCCACAGTGGTATCCAAAAGGGTGCCGGATTGCTCCTGTGCATGACGACAAATCATGCATTAACTGAGCTTGTCACCAGTATCCTCTTAAAGACCTTACCTCGGAGTCTTCAATTTGTCCTCTAAAGATATGACTATGGCAGAGAATTGGGTATAGCATAGCTTCTTGTCCGATGACACTACGATTCTGGATTGATGCTTTGGCGGATTAATCCTAGGAAGTCCACGTCGGGATAGCGAGATGGCCAAGTCGAATTCATTATGGTTGTTTGAGCTACCCCATCTTCCTGCGAGGAATTTCAGCTATATTATACCATTTAAGGCATTATCAATCACTACACACCTCAATTAAGAACGCCTTGCAATGATGGAAATACCGTCGCTCACTGTGATTATTTTCCGCTTTGGGATAACTAGCGCCAATTAAGGAGCCATGATACGTGCTATTGGCAGCGCCACGCATGATTAGGACAAATTGAAGCTCGACTTTTCGATGACGAGTGCTCTATTTTAGGGATACTATATTATGATGGTGGCCACCTTTTATATCTAATTGGAGTTGTGAGCCCAGGTTTCGCATAATGGGCTCACTTATGCACCTGATTTTCCCAAAATCACAAGCTCAGCCCCCTTGAAATTGATCAAGCATTGGTATAAATAGCAGGGACTTCCCACTATAGGGCGACTTTGTCCTCTTGAAATTCTTTTAACCAGCCCTGACATGTCCATCAAAATGGAGACACAGCAATAACCTGCTCTTGTCCAGACTGATGACTAGCATATCCCAGGTTTGATAGATGAAGTGGAAGAAGAGCTTGCACCTGAAGGTCCCATACAGATATTACATGACTCTCCTCCCTCCACCATTTCCTTTGATGAGGATTCACCTCCGCGACAGCCACATAGTGAACGACTGTCGCGCAGTGAAGAGGTTGAAGAAGCAGCGGGTTGCCCTTCACTAGTTATTAAAATAAGTGACGACAAGGATGATAATCATCTATGACCATGACTTCGAAATACGGATCGCCCTGATTATACTTATCGAGATTACCTAAATATAATGGAATATGCGATCTTGGCACCTCCTCGGCGCAAATAGAAAGGAGAAGATTCCGATGCGGTAGATTTTCAGTCTAAAGTCGTAAGGATTTCTTGTCTAGGTATCTCAATCTTGACTAACAATTAACAGAACCAACTCGTAATGGAAATCCAAGGACCGTACGAGGCCTTGAAAAAGGAGAACAAATGATTAAAACAAGAGAGATATCAATGGATGAAGGACAAGAAACAGCTGCAGCTTTAAATTCAATATTTATGGCGACAAATCGATGAACAGAAACAGCGCAATATCTTGAAGTGTATTCTATGCCATCGAACATTCAATGAGAGCTGGAGAGTTCTGGGATGTGGTCATACTCTATATAAGAATTGCGTGGAGGATATCAAGTCCAAGGATTCCTTGTTCGAGTATCCTTGTCCTTATGCTCAGTACAAGAAGCCGATTCAATCTTGTTTAGACTTTTATCCAAATGTGGTGGAAGCATAGCTCTGGCATGAAGACTTTTCACATAATAATATTGCTTATTTTGCTGTATATGAGTCAATTTATAATATATCTATGTGTGTTTTCTCTAGCGCCACTATTTGTCAATATGTAGTTATCCGCTCACCGATACTGACAGCTGACTCAATGAAATTACAGAAGGCTCTTTTAGGAAGTAGTCCAATTTCTTTGGTCCCTCGGGGTTTGGTACAGACTGACAATAGTTGCATATGTTGTCTGGCTGTTCCCTATGGTTCAGCTGATAGTAGATCCACCATACACTCCAGTCTTCTCCCCATTCATGATGGTCCTTTTTGAAATGTTCATAGCATACAATGTCAAAGGTGCGGCCCTCATACTTGAATCAATCTGCGATTGCTTCCGCAGATTATTGGAGGCATACATTGCTGTCAACTCATCAAAGTCTGAATGAGTTGCAGTCTTTCTAGGAACATCTGAGACAATGCCCTTTTCTAAGAGCATTACCTAAGCTAATGTATTTCCATTTAACGACTAGAATTAAGGGATATTTGGCTTTCCCGGATTCCAGTCCGAGTTCAAAGATAAAACTGCAAGAAATGATGGAGTGGCGCAACTCCACGATATCATGCTCTGAAACGCCCGATTCAAGGCTTACTCTGTACTCAAGAAGCCCACTTTTGATAGTAATTTGCACGAGATGATTATGTATTCAAAGATTCCTGTACTAACATGGCGTGGCTAGGCTTTTGTTGCAGGTTAATGATAGGTTGTATATTTGCTTAGTTACTTGTTACAGACAGATGCGAAACCTCCTTCTGCCACGGACCTGGATCCACCTTAGTTCTAACAGCGGTGCGTCGTGATACGTTAGGATAATTGAACCTCGCACAGGTTCCAACCAATGAGATAGTGGAGCGTGATGGATCGTATGTAACGAAGTATCGAACGGTAATGAGACGGTGACTGGGAATAGTAACAAACTAAGATAGAAGAGATCCCCCGCACAGCCTGGTGCCCGTACGAGTTAGAATGCCTTGCTGACTCTCACTGTTGTATTCAAGTGACTTATGTCAAAGAGCTATGAAGAACTAAATACATGATGGTAAAAGAGCGTCCTTATATATCCAGTCCTCCACATTTCGTAGTATGAATATCGTAGTATCGTAGTGTACTATCTTATACCTTACTACGATACTATCTTTCCTATCCAATCAGATCTTGGAGTTTCGTAGTGTCCTTATCTCGATAAGATAACGGTATATCTTTCTTATCGTCACGTGACTCCTGTCCCCTGTCGAGGATTAGGTAAGCTAAACCTAATCAAGGAAAGCCTACAACATTGATACAAGGAAAATTCGAGAATTGAAGTCACAAGATTGAATCTACGAATCAACTTTACAGCTCTGTGTCGAGAATCTTCTATTTGAGATTGCGTGGATGGGATTCTCAAGCATAAATAGTGTCCAACAATCCCCTCAAGATGTAGATAGAAGAGTGCGCAGAATTAAAGTCAATATCAATATTTCCACTATAAAGATATCTTTGAGTATTAAGCTTAACTGAGTTTGTGCTAGTGCACTGCAAGTTCCGATAGTTATGAGCCTGGGGTCCCTGTGAACGAAGCAAGTCGATATTTGAAGCTATTCACAGTGCCAATCCTCAATTTGGAACAAATTTGGAAGCGTGTATAAAGAGCATCGACCCCATCTCCAACAGTTATATTCGATTGTGATTCGGTTCGAATTAGTCCCAAAACAGCTACCTCGGATATTAGCTATGGACGTGAAAAAGAACGCGATAATCCTGAAGTCATCGGATAACTAAAGAAAGTGGATCGAACAACTTAGATCAGAGGCCTCAAAGGAAAATGTGTGGGAATATGTCGATCTAAGTCCAAACCGTATGATATATAACCCTGCACCAACAAAACCTATCGAACCTACCTATCTAGTATACGAAGCCAATCAAACAGTGGAGCAAAAGAACTTGATGCTCACTGAATTTCAAATTGCATGGAGTATATACGAACGAAAACTTAATCGATACGAGAAGCATCAAAAATATATGAAGGAAGTGCAATTGTATGTTCTTGATACCGTTGATATTGGACATCAACCTCTGATACGGAACATCAGCGACGTTACGGAAATGGTTCTAAAGCTCAAAGAGAAGTTTGCACTAAAGCTGAATAGAGAGAAAGCCTTGCTAATAAGGCGACACTGAGAACTTATGAATCCGAAACGAGGAATGAAACCCAAGGAATTCTTGAAAAAATAGCAAGAGCTCAAAGTGGACATAGACCTTGCTGATTTCAGTGAGATTCCAGATGAATAGTTAGCTAGAGATTTTATCGAGGCATTGGAAGATATTCTACCTAAATTTCACAAGACGTGGACCAACAAGCTCATGGAATTCGACCTTGGCATTGAATCAAGTATTCTACTTAAAGAACCTCAATTCAACGAAGTAATCAATGTATTTGATCTTTGGAATGAGATGTACTCCAAAACAACCTTACCCTCTCGAAAAGATATTGCAATGGCGACATTTGGTGACAAATCCGATCAACCTAAAAAGAATCAGCGTAGCGAAACAACGTCAAAGCCTGAGTCTCGAAAGTGCTTATGTGAGCAAGATCATCATTTCGAAGATTATCTATATGTGAATATAGAAAAACGTGCCGCTAATTGGAAACCAGATGAAGATATACAAAGAAAATTTGACCGCCTAGAGAAGAGCTGATACAATCGACTAGGCAAGGCTCTAAGGTCTGTTAAAGAAGAACTTCAGAAGAAAAATAAGGACAAAAAGAAAACTGGTTCTTCAACAGACACAAAGAAGAATAGTGAGAACCAAGAATCAGCAAATTTGGTATATGATTCAGACGAGTTTGTGGGATTGCTCAATGATACAAAGCCACCGGTCCTACAGAGTGTGGTTAGCACTATATTATCCGCCTTAGGCAGGAATGCTGACCTATGGGATAAGACCTTATATGACACTGGAGCGACAGCCCACATCACCAATAATTGAGAGCAACTAATAAATATGCAATCGAATATACGAATGATTCAGACAGGAAAGATAGAGATCAAAATGCATGGACCAGGACAATATATTGTTCATCCAACGGATCCTATATATAATATTGTTAAGTGCAAAGGAATACGAATCCTAGAAATGTGGTATATCGAAGGATTTCCTATAATAATTCTCTCAGCAAGCAAGCTCCAGGAGTATAGAATCAGGTTTGATGGCAAAACTGAACGACTGTAGGATGAGAAAATAAATAGCGATCTCTGTTATGTCAAGTGTGATGGAAAATTATTCTTAATTGAATGGGAATCAAACAAGAATACTAGGACTTCTCTATTAAATGAACTAGTTTTCAGTTTATTTGAAAAGAATATCTTAAAAGATCCCGCACAAGTGTGGCATAAACGTTTTGCTCACATCAAAGCCAGCTCAATTGCAAAAATTCAGGAAGCCACTGAAGGAGCAGTCATTACCAAGGAAATATTAGCCAGGAATGATGAAGGATTTTAACAGAAGTGCGAAGTCTGCAAGCTCATAAAGGCGCGAAAGAAGATTAGTAGGATACTAATGACACCACCGATAAGACCCTTCCAAGTCCTATTTGTTGATATTATTGTCATGAACATGGCAATCAACAAGGACTTGTATGCCCTACATGCAGTCGATCCGTACACTAAGTTCCATGCCCTAGTGACAACTCGTACGAAGTCAGTGAACTTCGATCTTGAAACATTGATTGAACAGATTGAGCATACCTTCAAGACAAAAGTCGATGAGATTCATATGGATGGAGAGTCCTCGCTCAATGGGATCAGCTTCAAAGAATATTGTCATAAGCAAAAAATTAAGCTGATAGTGACTGTGCCATATACACTAGAACAGAATGGCCCTAGCGAGCGAGCCAGTGGAATCATCACTATGAAATCTTGAAGCCTGTTGGAGGAAGCCAATCTATCACTAGGATTATAGCCAGAGGCCATGAAAGCAGCAATCTAGATTATAAATAGAACCCCAATTGAATCATTAGGCTATATGACTCCATATGAAAAAGCCTTTGGGAAGAAACTATATATCGGTAATCTATTTCTCTTCGGATCTAAGGCATATGTTAAAATCGACACCAAGAAAAGCGACAAAATGGCTCTATGTGCCCAAATTGGATTCTTAGTTGGTTATGAAGCTCACAATATATGGAGAATATAGGTCCAAGGTCCTAGTAGATTAAAAGTTATACGAGTTCGAGACGTAGTCTTTGATGAGACTAAGAAATATAACCCTGATTATCCATTTGCAAAAGAAATTGTCAAAGAGGGTATAACCAAATATATTAGCAATATCGACATACTGAACATTGACGAAGCAGACCCCAATATTGTATTCGACTCAGTTGATAACGATATGAGGCTACAGCAATTCTCTGTTAGCCTAGGAAAAATGATGACAGGAGGTAGCACGTCACCTTATGAGCATGCGAATATTGAGCAGCCAACTCAGCCCTTGGATATGCCACAGAATATGGAAATCGACAGTACATCGACTGAGTCAGTTGAACAGACTCAGATTCCACAGGAGATGGAAATTGATACTCCAACTGAGCCAGGAAATATGGAAATTGACGGAAATAGAACAAATCAAGCGCAAGTTGATAATCGTGAGAATTCCATGATGGAAATTGGCTCAGCTGGGGGGGTGGAGGATAAGAATGAGGATAAGAATAAGGACAAAGTCGATGTCATGGAGAAGGAAGCCGAGGATGAGGATATTCCCAAATTAGATGGAAAAACTAATAATCCGACCAATCAGCCTCGCCAATTATCAAATCCTGAGAGAGATTCTGCTAGTCAAAACGCTTCAAATTAGTTGGACAACAACAATGACAACATGAGAACAAACCAATTGATCACACCGTTAACTACACCGCCAACTACACCGCTAAATCAGACTACAGGACAGGAAGCTCCTCGAGCACAAGAAATAAGCGCCAACCTGTCAGAATCAAATATAGTGGCAGGATCAAGGATTCGAAAAGCCTCAAACCGAGCTCTGAGCCCTACCTCAATCTCTGCAGGACCATCGAAAACTTCAAAGAGAGATCGAAGCCCAGAACCAAGTCCTATATCGAGAAAAAGGCAGAGAAAGCTTAGTCGCGCGTTTCTAGCCAGGCAGAAGTTGCTCCAAGATTCAACAACTGACAAGATCTTCTTAGCCGCCATGGAAAAGCTTGAAGAACCATTTAGTGTGCAGCTTCCACCAGAGCCTAAAAATTGGAAAGGAGTTTTCAAAGCACATATTTGTGTACGTGGTGATCTGCAACAACCAAATGACCTTGAAAAACAAGCAGCTACACTTGCAGCACGAAACTTCAGAATGATGATGGCTATTGCAGCTATCTTCGATCTTAAGATCGTTCAATATGATGCCATGAATGCCTTCGTGAATAGTATCCTTGATGAAGAAGTTTACACATACTTTCCAGACGGATTCAAGCAAGATGGGCAGGTAATAAAGTTACGACAAGCTCTATATGGTTTGAGAAGAAGCCCACAGTTATGGCAGAAAGAACTTACAGCGACCCTTCTAAACCTAGAATTCACGCAGATTCCAGACGAAGAATGTTTATTCATCAAGAATAGTGTTGTCTATTGTTTATGTTGATGACATTCTGCTATTTACAACAAGGCCACAAAGCAAGCTACTTTTAAGGAAATCGAGAAAGGCCTATGAGAAAGTATAAGCTTTGAAAAATGAAGAAATTTGAGTGGTTTCTCAATATTAGGATCACTCGCGACCGTGCTCAGAGAAAGATTTAGCTCTGCCAGGACAGCCAGATCACCAAGATGGCTAGCAAATTCGGAATCAACGCCACGAACAATGTCAAGACACCCATATCTGGCAATATTGAAGCTTCAACCGAACAAGCAACCAATGAAGAGATTCACGCATATCAAGAACTTATGGGATCAGCTCTTTATATTGCTATAATGACTAGGGTTGATGTGGCCAAAGCTGTCAACGAGCTAGCTAAGCACACCAAGAATCCTTTAAAGGCTTACTTTCAGTAGATCCGATATGTCATCCAATATCTCTATAACACCTGCTTGTTAGCAATTGAATATTCACCACTAGAGAATACCAATATGGACGCTTTCGTATGCGCCTTAGATGCCTCATTTAGTGACAACCCTAACCGTACAAGCTCTGAAGGATATTTAGTCCAATTGTATGGAGGCCCAATTGACTGGAGAGCCACAAAGCAGCGCTTAGTTATGACATCAACAACTGAAGCTGAGCTCCGTGCAGCTACTGAAGCAGCCAAAAGACTTTAAGTTTGGAAGCGAGTCTTCAGGTCTATTGGATTTAAGCCTGATAGAGAACTCTCAATCCAATATGACAATAAACAAACTGTTTCACTACTAACCAGCGAAGAACCACAGTTTCATACGAACCTCAAGCACATTGATATTTACTATCATTGGCTCCAATAAGAAGTCTCCAAGAAGCGACTGCGTATTGAATAGGTTGATACAAAGCGAATGGTGGCAGACAGCCTTACTAAGGTCCTACATGGACAGCAGTTCCTGGATTGGAGAAAACACTAGGGATTGGTGGATATAGCAGATCTAGTGCAGGAATAAAAGCTTCAAGCTTCTATTCCTGGGGGGGTGTGTTGAGGATTAGGTAAGCTAAACCTAATCAAGGAAAGCCTACAACATTGATACAAGGAAAATTTGAGAATTGAAGTCACAAGATTGAATCTACGAATCAACTTTATAGCTCTGTGTCGAGAATCTTCTATTTGAGATTGCGTGGATGGGATTCTCAAGCATAAATAGTGTCCAATAATCCCCTCAAGATGTAGATAGAAGAGTGCGCAGAATTAAAGTTAATATCAATATTTCCACTATAAAGATATCTTTGAGTATTAAGCTTAACTGAGTTTGTGCTAGTGCACTGCAAGTTCCGATATCCCCTGATTGCACAGTACGCCTTACTGTTCATGACTGGTACTCACGCCCACAATTTTTCGAGTTGATAGGCGACTTCCTTATAATTATTTATATCAAACAGTCGGAGGCTCAAAATCCTCAACCCTCTCTACCACCTAGCTCCCAGGAGTGCAGCCTTTGACGCGTCTCAACGCGCCCGGCAACACCATGGCGCGTAAAGGCCCTGGTATAGACGGCCCTCTACAGACAGCCCTTCTGGAATCCACGTCTGCAGCCACAACAAGAGCTTCTGAAGGACAGAAGATCTTCAGCCCTATAGCTGTATTCCTTGATAAACACCGCAGCCAAACCACCGGCCTTGCTCCTCACCTACTGAGAGCACTCACCACTCTAAGCGATGACCTCGCCTCAGTAGCTTAACAATATTTCAACGCTTATATCAGCGGTATCTCGACGACCTCCATTCTACCTGCCCTGTCTCCTTCCCCTTCCTCTTTCCCTACCCTAAATCCCTTACCTTCTTCACCCCCTCCCTCACGTCCCCCCTCAGGTCTTAACCAGTCAACTTATGCAACTATTACCCAATATGCCCCGGTCAAATCAACTCCCACCACTCACCCTAAAGCCTCCATCAAAAAGCCTATGCCTCTGGTGAAATAACCCCTTCCTAATATCCAGCTCTTCGTACGCCTCCCAGCTGATCACGCAGCCAGAAAAATAGAAGCCTACGCTATCTACTCTAGCCTACGATCTTAACTAAACTTAAATAGTGCAGCACTAAAAGAAGTCCAAGCTACAAAGACTGGCTTTGCACTATGTCCCTCATCTCTAGAAGCCCTCCTAGCCCTTGAGGCCCAAAAGAGACTATCTCTGCATTCTTTATTAACTGCTAGATAGAACGCAGCTCCCGATGGGTCTCATACCGAGTCACCAACGTGCCAAGGAAAATTGGCCAAATCTTGGATGGTCAATACTCTCTAATCCCTGTCAATCCTACACTACTATCATTAGAAATTAGCGAAACAACAGGGCTCAAGCCTATATCTATTAGCGAGACCACTACGAGTGCTGCCAATCCTGATACTCTCTCCTCAAGCTAGTTTGTCAACTTCCTAGAAGGCATGAAATTACCACTGCCTATCCAGCTACATCTTTTTAGCACTATTACTAATGCTTGTCACCTCTCTAAGAAAACAACAGTTATTTAATATATACGATGCTGGAAATGGCATAATGCACAATCCTGTGCACGCCCCTCCTAATGCTGACTATGCGGCTCCTCAGAGCATACTGAAGAGGGCCATATCAACTGCTGCATAGCCCTAGAGCCTTATCAATGCCCTCCTAGATATATATACTGCCATGGACCATATCCAGCTAATTTCACAGAATGCCTTCTACGCCCCAAAGGTAATACTAAACATACTAAAGCTCAACAAACAGAGATACGCAAATCCTGCGCTATAAACCTCGCAAAAGCTCGAACTGAAGGAGGATGTAGCTCTCAGCTCTCCATAGGCACACAAGAAACACCTATAGCATTAGATGAGATGCTATCACAGCCTTCAATCCATAAGATTATCTCTTCTTTCCATTCAGTAACCCCCCCACCTCGCGCCCCAACTGAAGATCCTCCCATTACAGTTTGTGCAGTCTATTTTATAACCCCTTAACTATAAAACTAGTTCGCCTCTCTTCTTGAACAAGAGCTATAATCTATCACTATCCAACTCAAAAGGCGCCTCTCAAAATCCTACAGTTAAATGTAGGGCATGCGCCAGACGCACATAAAATAGCCCTCACATTGGCATATACTAGCAACATCGATATTATCCTAATCCAAGAACTATATATATTCAAAGACCTCAGCCGACAGATCACTAAAAAACATCTATTATATGAATGCTTCTCCCCAACTGATAGCTGGGCAATAAGTGGCCAATCACGAGTCCTCATCTATGTCTAAAAGAAGAAAGGCATTTGGACCTCCCAGCTATGCCCCTTTACAACTGACACTAAAGAAGCCTCGGATCTCCTGTTCCTTCAGATTTTTTCGCCCATAGGAAAGTCCGCTCTGATAGTTAACATCTATAATGCTCCAGCAGGCTGCAGTAGAGCAGGTGAAGCCGCGAAAGCTCTCATAACCCTGCCAGAGGTGTATTTCCCTCAAACAACAATACTTGCAGGTGATCTCAACCTACTACACAATAGATGGCAACCCTTGCTACAACGCAGCCCTACAACTTTTGCAGAGCTGTTTATCAACTGGCTGGATCTCCAGGGTCTAGTACTCATTTCCGACATAGACTGTCCTACACATAAAAGGGGTAATGTGTTAGACCTCAGTTTCGCCTCAAGCCCTCTGGCACTTGCAGGAGCCAAAGCTAGCATAGCGAGCCACTTAGATGCAACCTCAGATCATCAACCACTAATCACCACTGTTCCATGGGATCAGAGATACAAGGAAACAGCCCAGAAACTGAGATTTGACACACTAGACCATACCTCCTTCCTCTCGCTCCTCGCCTCTAATCTCGCTGGCACCGAGAGCTCAGCCGCAACAGAAGAAGATCTTGATGCCCTTGCTAAAAAACTGACATTTACAACTCAAGGAGCATATAGAGGCTCTGCTAAGAGGACCATGACACAAGGCATAGGATAACTATGGTGGAATAAAGACTGCAAGAAAGCTTTATATAATTACCGCTTAGGCCTCTACTCAAAGACAGACTTCCGCAGGATAACTAGATAGTCTCAACGACAATTTTGGCAAGATAAGCTCTCTACAGCAACACAAATGAAGGATGTCTTCAATATGAGTAAATGGTATAAGTCTACAGGCACCTTCCAAAGCCCTCCACTGAAGGATCCACTGAGACTCAACAGCTTCCCAGCAGTTACTATACATGAGAAACGAGACATACTAGTCTGTAATCTTCTCCAAAACTCGGCTGAGGCAGGAGATATACCTCTGGACTCCCCAGCAGTCCCTACCACTAGTCTCTACTTCCTAGATATAACAATGGCACAGGTGGAGGAGTCAGTACTTCAGGTAGGAAACACAGCCCCTGGCTCAGACGAAATCCCAACCTGCATACTCAAAGTAGCATGGCCTCTGATCAAGGACAAGGTACTAATGTTATATCAAGGGTGCCTAAAGATTGGTTATCACCCGAAATACTTTTAACATACAATCTTAGCAATTATCCAGAAACCAAAAAAGACTGATTGGTCCTTACCTAGATCATACAGACCAATCACTCTTCTATCAGTTCTTGGCAAAGGACTTGAGTGCTTAGTGGTACAGAATATGGCATGGATCTCTATATACTACAAAGTATTAGCAAGGCAACAGTTTAGGGCTCTCCCACTAAGATCTGCAAATGATCTAACCACATGCCTAACACATGATGTTGAACAAGCACTAAATCAAGGCATGACTGCCTTACTCCTTACCCTAGATGTTAAGGGCGCTTTTGATGCCGTGCTTCCCGGCAGACTCATCCATAGATTATATGAGCAGGGCTGGCCCACTAATCTTATTCTCTGGATTGCCTCCTTTGCTACTGGGCGATCAGTCCAGATCCGACTCAATGGAGAGATTGGCCCCTCAACAGACATTGCCTGCGGTCTTCCACAAGGATCCCCAGTATCTGGCATTCTTTTCATGCTCTACATAGCGCCCCTATTCCGTCTAGGAAACCCAAGGAACAGATTTGGTTACGTAGACGACGCAGCTAACCTGGCAATCTCAACATCTCTTGCTACTAACTGCAAAGCATTATCAGACTCACTATAAGAAGCTCTAAACTAGGGCGCTGCAGAGGGCATTATATTTGCACCAGATAAATATGAGCTTCTTCACTTCTCCTAACATAAAGCAGACCAGGACCCAACCTACACACCTTCAGTAAAAGCTGGATCTATCATAATCTCAGAAAATACTAAACAGCTATATCTATGTTGGCTAGGAATCCTCTTTGACAAAAAGCTAATGTTTAAATAGCACGTTGGTGAAACAGTATCTAAAGCCCTCACTGTAGCTAATGCCCTTCGCTCTCTAGGGAATACTATCCGTGGAGTCAAACCTCATTTACTATAGCAGGCTATATCAGCCTATGTACTCTATAAAGTATACTATGGCGCAGAAACCTGGTGGCCAGAACATACTCGCCCTAGGCCTTCCCAAATTTTAAATCGAGTTAGAGAACATCTTACAAAACTAACTAAAGTAATACTAGCAGGCGCAAGAGCCGTCCTTCCAGTTTTCCGCACAACCCCAATATCTGTTCTATACCGAGAGTCTGGATTCTCTCCGCCAGAAATTGAACTAGATCAAATAGCCCTCCAAACATCAGTCCGCCTACGGCGTCTTGATCCATACCACCCACTCTGAAGACGCGCAGAACAGATAGCCAGAGACGGCCAACAAACCAGTTGATTTGCCCGCCGAGTGCTGGCGCTCCCCAACTCTGAACAAATAAACCCTCTACAACATGCTCCCTGGTACCCTCATGAGTCACGCAAGAGTGCCCTAGCCCGAATAGGAGCTCCCATGGGACGCACTAAGGAATAGGCAGTGGCTGATTTTATGGCTTTTCAATGTACCATCCCTAGCTCAGATATTGTAATCTTTTCAGATGGATCTAGGCTAATAGACGGACGTGCAGGGGGTAGCTATATTGGAATTTAAGCACACCATCAGTTCCTCCACTCCTCACTCTTATACGGACATGGGAAAGAGGTCTTTAACACAGAAGCAGAAGCTGCCCTAGCTGGTGCTTAAGCAGCAATAGCATACCTAACAGCTCAATTTGCTACCAACCTATGGATCTGTCTTGACAACCTGGAAGTTGCCACGCGCCTCCTATCCCCCTCTACAGGATCCTCTCAAGAGGTCTTTGAATCCTTTCGCACCCTTGCAGCCGCCTGGCCACTACGCGAAAGGCTTCCACACACCAAAAGTGGATTAATCCAAATCCGATGGGTCCCTGGACACACTAAAATCCCTGAGAATGAAGCAGCTGATCTCGCTGCCAAGGAAGGAGCTATCTCTATCCCCCCCTCTCCATACAAATCCTCATATGCCTCGCTAAAGAGATACGCCAAGACTCAATCTCTTTCTGCTGCTCAGACATGGTGGCAGACTGTAGCACCACAGACATACCAAGATCTAGAAATAACTACATCTCCTAAACGCCCTAGAGAGCTTTAACTTAACTGACTTGACCTTGGCCATATCATAGCGGCCCGTACTGGTCATGGAGACTTTGCAGACTACCATGAATGCTTTAATCATGATGATGCTTATCTTCTCTGTTGATGTGAAGTATGAAAAGCACCTCTATATTTCTTCTTCTGCTATATAGCTAAGAGACGAGCCCCTCATCCACCTGGACCCCCTTCTAAAGTTATCTCTTTTCTTTTAGGCACTGCGAAAGGAACACAAAAACTAGCCTCATAGCTAGCAGAGACCCGTTTCTTTGAGGATATCTGTCCTTGCCAACCTCTCCTTAGCACCTAGCTAAGTCAGCTCTACTTTCCCCTTATATCTCTCTTTTCCTTTGTTCTTTTTCCTTCTTTCTTTTCTTCTTTCCTTCTTCCCTTTTTCTTTTGAAACTCACTGCTTAAGTATGATGGTGGTAGAATAATGGGTCATGGAGTGTAGGTGGACTATTGCAGCTGGCAAATACCTAAAACCCACTAGGAAGTGGATCTCCCTTTAAGACCATAGTAGCTATGGAAATGCGCCCAAGAGTCTCTTATTTGTATATAAATCTGATAGGACCTGAAGCCCGAGGCTTACCCCTCGGCGGCCTATGTCCCAGTAGGGATCGGTGGGAAGCGTGCAAGTCACGAACCACGGCCGTTAAATATACACATACACACACACACACCCTGAGTTGTATGTAACTAGAGAGACAAGCAATACACAGAGATTCAACGCATCGAATCATCTCCTTATTAATACTGACAAGCAACTGATCATTGATCATTATTACTGAACGATATCAATCCTCTGAGTCTATACAATCCATTCACCGATTTCTTTACATGGTAGCATGTCCTTGGGGCTAAGCTGCAAGATAGCATAACAGCGTTCGTGGAAGCGAGTCTTGCACCTTAGGGCGAACCACCCGGAATCACCGCTGGGTATAAGCAGGTAATGGTATTGTGATCAGTCAGTTGTATCCTCGATCCTCTTAGTAAGGATAGGCCGGCCAATCTATTGTTATGATGAATTTGGGCATACGACTGGGCTTTAAAAGTTTGGAAGGAAGGAGTGTTACAGCTCAAGGCTAGTTGATGCCTTCGAGACGACAAGACGAGAGAGGACGTTTTACTTCCACGACTCCTGAGCCAGAGGGAAGGATTCCTGGCTCATTCGAACAAGGCAATGAGATGGCCTTAGGTCAACGTGACGAAGCGACCGACAACGAGACCGATAACGAGACCATTAGATAAGTAAGAGACAATACCGTACACAGCGGTTAGCAGAATACTGTTGTTAGAGTTGAGATACCTATACTAGAGTTTATACTAGACTGACAACTTGTGGATGAGTTAATGAGTATACCAGACGACAAGGCTATTCCTACATTTAAGGAAGCTAATGGGAGAAAGTTTGTGAGATTTAAGATAGCAAAACTCGACCAGATAAATATTTGAAGCTAGAAGAACAAGTATAAGTTATTCCTGAAGTCACAAGGATGTTGGAAAGTGGTAGATTATATATATAAATGGAGGAAGCAATCTGAGAAGATTGATAAGCTTCTTAAGGATGATAAATGGAGTGCAGCAGACTCATTGTCGAAACTGTACATCCTATAGAACCTTACCGAAAGTAATGAATCTGCAGTCCAATATATAAGGTTATCTGGAGAGATATGGGCATATCTTATGGAAAATATGAAAGACGCATGGAAGTAGACGTTGCATATGCAATTTGTGATGTGATAACATGGAAGATGAGCTCTACAACGATAATAGAGGCAGGACTACAGCAGTTGGAGTAGAGGCATACAGAGCTAGTCGACGTGAGTGGCGGAGAGATTAAATTGCTAGAGAAGATGATTATGGTTATCTTTCTGGAAGGACTACCGTCAGAGTATGATTCTATGAAGTTCTCAATACTAGAAGCTAGAGACCTATCAAGAGGGCTTGTACTATCGCGACTACAACAGTAGGAGCGCATGCAAAATGGCAGTAATAATAAGACCATTGGGGCCAACGAATTGGCCAATTGTGTATTAGATATTAAGTGCTTCAACTGTAACGAGATGGGTCATATTGCAAGGAATTGTCTAAAACCAGACAAGCAAAAGAAGTCAAAAGAACAGTCTAGGGATGACTCGCGAGCGAGCTTAAAGGCGCGAAGCTCTGGAAAGAAGGCGCATAATAGGCAAAAGCAAAAGCACAAGCACAAGGGACGTGCTAGCAAGGCTGTCGAAACGTCAGACTTAGACAGCAAGAGTATCAGTGACGCGAGTACAGGAGAGAGTGTTAACTGTGCTTGGATAAGTGTGAGATTTGTGGACATGATTGAAGAGAATGATTGTCAAGAGGTTGAAATGGTAAAGCGAATATCAAAGAGATTGGAGACAGATCAAGATGAGACTAGTGCTAGGAAAGACAAGCCCTGGGTTATCGATGGTGGTGCGACACGTTCATGTTCAGGCAATATCGAGTGCTTTCTCGACTTAGACACCTCGTATAGAGGTTGGTTAGGAACTGCAGGAAAGAGTACGAGGATTATGGGAAAAGAAAGAGTAAAGGCGCTGCTAGAAAATGGAGATTATGCCGTTTTAAATAATGTTTTGTATGTTCCAGCATTAAAAGGAAATCTGATGTCTACGTAGATGCTTTATCAAGATGGGATCTTTAATACTTATGATGAAGATGGATATCGATTCTATAGGAAGGACCGGAAGACATTGGCAATAGGCTATAATATAGGCCGCACAAGTTATCTTGGCTGGACAGAGTCGCGGGACGCGTTGGTTACGAAGTCAGGACCTAGAGCAGAAGAAATCGCGCTCCTAACACGTGAAGAACCAGATTGGGATATAATTCATAGACATTTTGGACACCCAGGGAAGCCACAGTTTAAGCGACTGGCTAAGAAACTTGGCCTAGAGTTATCAAAGGATTACAAGTGTGATTGCAGGGCATGCATCCAGGCCAAAAGTGTCAAGAAGCAGAATCATGAGGAGGTCCCAAGGGAGAAAGGACCATTGAAATGAGTTTACATTGATTTTTGGGGGCCATATTAGGGTCAATACTATCTTGTGATAGTTGACGACGCGACTAGATTCTTATGGCTTTATATCATGGAAGATCGACGTACTGAAACTGTGATTGGGATTCTAGATATGTGGATGGTCAGGGAAGAGTGTATTCTAGGAAAGGCCTTAATTAATATTAGACTAGATAATGCAAAAGAGTTTACTGCATTAGATCCATAGACAAAGAAAAGAGGAATTAATCTAGAGTTTACAGAACCCTACATACCACCACAGAATGGACTGGCAGAATGTTTAAATTGGTTCATACTTAAGATTGCAAGAGTGATCTTATAGCAGATGGATGTTCCAAAGAAATATTGGCGATATGCAATCAGGATGGCCAATTTTCTTTGGAATTGAACAGTCTTTACACCTGGACAGAAGAAGTGGAAGTCTGCGTATGAGATGCTCTATAAGAAGAAATTTGACATTGCAAAACTTAGAGTTCCATTTTGCAAAGTCTGGTTCCACACTGAGACAAAGGATAAGCTTGATCCTAGGGCTCATGAAGGTGTTTTTGTGGGTTATACCAAGAGTAGCAGTCAATATCTCGTGCTTGATAGACAAGGGCGAGTACGGAAGGTCACCAACCCAATCTTCTTAGAAGACGAACGAGGATTCATTTCCTATGAGACAGGAGAGAGAGAATTTACTCACGACGAGGTTTATAATCGTCTCAGGGAGAGATGCTGCATGTTCGATAACATTAGTGCTATTCATAGTGGTTCTAGTATGCTTAATCCGACTGTCAATGCGACTGTCAATTCAACCATGAGTCTAATTACCAATCACAAATCAACTACCAATGTGAATCCAAGTGTACTCAACCAAATAGATAATGTTGAGGCACCTACTACAGTTGATGAGTCACATAGTCAAGATTCTACTATGTCGATTACACTGGATCTAGCTAATCCGAACCCGTCCACTACACCTTCATTACTAGAGGCATCTCAGCAAGATACTTTACCAAAGCGACGATCTGAGCGTATACGACAACCAACTCAGGCGTTAATTGAATCACAGCAAATAGAGCAGATATATGGCTGGAAAAGTCGTCAAGAAAGACGTCAGGAAGAAAGGGAAGCAAGTAAAGTATCAACAGGTTCTTCCCAAGTCTCTCATGAGGAGACACGTCTACGAGAAACAGCCAATTTAGCAGTTACAATAGAATTTCTACTAGGCGAAAATGATGAGTTTGCTTTACAAGTTGATAAGTGGCTTGAAGGGGAGAAAATTCCTATATTTAAAACTTATAAGGAAGCTGTGAAGCATCCAATTTATGGATCTAGATAGCGTGAAGCCATTGGTCTTGAGATTCAAAATCTAATACACTTTGGCACATGGAAATTTATTAAATGACTAGTCAGATGATCAGTCATATCATGTAAATGGATTTTCGATCTGAAATATGGCGCAGACGGGCGCCTAGAACAATTCAAAGCACATCTAGTTGCTAGAGGGTTCTCTTAACAGGAAGGTTTAGACTTTGAAGACACATTTGCACCGGTTATCCAACTAGAAAGCCTCCGTGTGCTATTTGCTATTGCAGCCTCATATGGAATGGTAGCTCATCTACTCGACGCTACGAACGCCTTCGTAGGCTCAAGAATTGACAAGGAAATATTCATGGAAATTCCACAGGGTTTGTATGACCATGGTGTTGGACCAACGGAACCAGATTAAGTCTGTGAGATCTTATAATCACTGTATGGCTTACGACAATCTACTAATCTCTGGAATCAGAAAGTCAAGTCATTCGTTGAGACTATTGGTTTTAAGCCTTTAACAGCTGATTCAAGTGTCTTTATCAATGAATGAGGAGTTATTATTGCACTATATGTGGATGATATCTTAGTGTTTGGTAAAGCAACTAAAGACATTGACTGGACAAAGAGGAAACTCAAGAAATTTCATCTAATAAAGGATTCTGGACTTGCAAAGAAGATATTAGGAATCTGAATCACCTGGCTTTCAAATGGAGGTATACGACTGGATCAAGAATTCTATGCTACTCAAATGCTTAAAGAATTTAGTATGAATTATTCAAAGGATCGTATCCTACCTCTCGGACCTAGTACAAACCTCTCTGCAGACTCTCAACGCCTTTCAAAAGATCTGCATTCAAAGTTCCAAAGAATTATTGGACAACTTACATATCTAGCTGGTGGAACACGGCCAGATATCTAGTTTCCTGTCAACCGTCTCAGCCAACACCTCGCTGAACCCATAAAAGTCCATTTGGAAGCGATCAAGAGAATACTTTGATATATTCATGGTACAATCAAATATGCCATTATCTACCAAGCGTTAGATGACAAGGGGAGTGGTAAGACATTAGTTGGTTATATGGATGCATCATATGCCAATGCTACGAAGGGGCGTTCAACTAGTGGGTATATTTTTATACTGGCTGGTAGCCCTGTAAGCTGGTCTAGCTAAAAGCAACTAATTACTACGACTTCATCATCAGAAGCTGAGTATATTGCTGCATCAGATGGAGCCAAGCAGGTAGTATAGCTTAGACATTTTTTGTATTCAATTCAGAAAGGATCTAAGGGACTGACTCCATTCTATATGAATAATCAGTCTGCAATGAAGCTATCCGACAATCCAGTGCTGCATTCTTGAAGCAAGCATATCCTGATTTGATACCATGTTATACGTGACTTCGTAAACCACCAGGAGATAAAGCCAATATATATCCCTACCACCAACATGCTTGCGGACAGCCTAACTAAGGCATCTTTATCAGATACACTTGGAAAATTTACTGAATCTCTAAACATAAAATGGTGATATGGTTATAGAACAGGTTAGTGGAAATATAGATCTCCGGGTCGCAACACCAAGATCTACAGAATGTGAATTGAGCGTTCAACACCCTCCGAGTCATATTGTTTTTGATTTTTATGTTTTCTTCTGGATTTGAAATGGTTGACTCTACAGATATTGAACAAAGGGGAGTGTAAAGAATATAATCACAAGGTCACGTGATGACTAGTGATTCCGAGGCTAATTATAGTCTCAACCCCTGAGTTGTATGTAACTAGAGAGACAAGCAATACACAGAGATTCAACGCATCGAATCATCTCCTTATTAATACTGACAAGCAACTGATCATTGATCACTATTACTGAACGATATCAATCCTCTGAGTCTATACGATCCATTCACCGATTTCTTTACACCATGCATTCTCAAGTGGGCGCTTGAAAAATCAGTCAGTTATTAGGGAACCTACTTCACGAACACCATGTCCCCTTCTGTATTTCGACCTCAATGGATTGTGATCCTTGTTCCATTGCTATCTAACTTTGGAAGTGGCATCAAGAAATCCACAGACTGCGAGATATCAGACTCGTCGGTTTCGAATAATTCGAAGCGGGGTGCATTCGGCCTGAACATTACTGCCATGGCCCAGTACATCTCAGCATAAGCCAGACTGTTTATTTTCGTTAGCCTCATTTCCACATAGTATCAAATATCACCTTTTATGGCGATTCTGACGGGAAATGGAAGTATTTTCTTACTTCATGCCTAAGCAATTCCGAGATCCTCTGGTGAAAGGAACCCAGTTCCTGTCCATATCGGCGTTATAATCGCCCAGCCAACGCTCGGGAATGAACTTGAATGGCTCCGGGTAGACTTTTGGGTCGGTGTGCAGGCTATATGCAGCCATTCCTACGGGAGTGCCAGCAGGAATCACCCACTGCTTGTAAACAAGGGGGATATCCGGCGAGATCCGGGGAAGACGGCGCATCACGCCGTAGCTCAGGCTGCAAACGTTCGCTTTCTCAGCAGGGACTTCCAAATTACTCATTGTCAGACTAGACTCACCGTAGGCCCTCCTTGATCAGCGCCTGCAAATACGGCAACTGTTCCAGTTGCTGCCAGGTAGGCAGGGTGTGCGGGTAATCTGCCATGATATCCTTGAGTTCTTCTTTTAGACGCTGCCACATGTGCGGATTAGTGAGAATGTAGTAGCACATGAAGCCCATCGTACGTGCGGTGGTGGCGGTGCCAGCCCCGAAGAGTACCATCGCCTCGCGACTCAGACGCTCCGTGCCGCACTCAGACTTCGGCATCTCGCTTGTAATAACATAGCGGAATACGGAACTCTTCGCGTTCGCTTCGACTTTCTCTTTGCTAAGGTTGTCCTGCTTAGCGTCGATGATGTGCTTAGTAGCAAGCTGGCGGAACACGTTGAATCCAGCGGCTCCTGGGTACACACGCAGGAGGAACCCGGTTGGAATCATGGACGCCAGACTATATCTGTTAGTCTATACCCTTTGCTTCTAAGGATGGAAACGGAAACATACGTAACTAATTGCGGGAAATGCATGAACAAGAGGAGCTGTCTCACAATACTCTCGATCAAGTTGTGCCTAGTTCGCCGGATTGTCAGTGCTGGGTGTGTGTTACGCGGGCGTCCACTTCACCCACCACTCTTTGCCAAACTCTGGACTGTTCATCATGTCAGGAGGGCTTTCACAGCATATCCGGCCGATAACATCCCCGGCAAAGGCAGAGAACACATGGTCGAGTCGGATGACATTGCCGGATCCCTTAAGCTCGGTTAAACGATTATTAAGCAGTTTGGCTTCCTCGATGATCATAGATTCCATCTTATCGATGCCCATGCGGGAGAAGAAAGGCTCAAGTGGCTTGCGGCGACGACGGTGCAGTTCGTGGTTCTCCGTCATGGTGTGAGAGCCTGACATGAGTAAGAAGACTTGCTCGTTTCCAACAACCCAAGTTAAACTCAGGGGAGCAACATACCGTCGAAACCAATGCCGGTTCTGTAGCGAGGCCAGATGGCCGTACGACGGGTGTTGCCAGCCACGTAGACACTGTTGTAGAATTCCGGGTCATTGATGACTATCTCGTGCGGGTTGATGCGGATAATTGGGCCTGATAAGATGAATCATTGCTGGTCAGTTTGGGCCCTGTTACCGTTGTGCGTGGAAAATAGGAAATATAGAAGGATATAGCCCCGAAAGTGAAATGGAACTTTACCATATTTCTGGTGCATCTCCTCAATTTTGTACACATACTTCCCCCGCTTAATCACATCGTAGTAGAATTCATACCAGCGAGTGACAGCGGCAATTTTGGGCCCAGGAAACCCGGCCAACGGATGGAAGTAAAGACGGTAGATGGCCAGCGAAGCAGTGTAGAGGATCAAGCTCCCCGCAATGGCACCATAGAAGCCATATTGTTTCAGCAAAGGATATTCCTCCACGAGCAAGACAATCTCCTTGTACAAAGCCTCCATCTTTGCTGGGCGGTTTTCAGTACAAGTGAAGCAGGAGGTGAGAAATATCTGAATCTTTCGGGGAGAAGACTTGGGTTGAGGATGGGTGAGGAGAAGGATGACATACAACCTTTTTCATATGCTCGTGTTGCTACTACCAAGTGTGTGGTCTCATTCTGATTTCTGGTTCTATATTCCCGGGTAAATTGACCAAAATACGAGAAGAGGGGTAAGATAGAGTGCTTCGGGGTCTTTCGGGGTCCATCGAAGCCATTCTAGATCACGAACACGTAGTCAGACCGAGATAAGAAAAAAAATGCATCTACAGGATTGGGCTTGACAATTTGGAGCTGCGCCGCCGGACTAGCCGGGCAATGTCAGATCCTCGATAAATCACATTTCCCATTTCAAGGAGGGCTGTCTCCGCGGCCCGGAACGAATGGGGTCAAACGGGGCGATGGCTTCTAATTTGATACCATACTAGCTTGACTATCCTGATGAATTAGGCAGTGCTGAGTGGTGGCAACGGATGGTCAATATTCTCCTGGCGGGTTGGGAGGTCGTATTAGCCCCGCCTGAACATATCCCAGGACATCTAGACGAGGTTTGAACGAAAACGAGATGTCAGCACACCATCACGATAGATACTACCTTGTTGTCCCAAGATAGCAATCTGTCCAGCTAGATGAGTTGCTGCACCTGCTAACATAGGCACGGACGTAAGCAACAGCCACGTTGTCGTCGTTGTGTGGTTGCTGACATTGCATTTTCAACTCTCCTTCAGATTTTGGGCTCTGGAGCAAGAATGCATTTCTCAGACATCACAGCCCAATTGAATACTCTCCTGCTCAAGGGACCTTGGGTTTGTTCAATTTTCCGTATATCCCTCATGTACACCTGTGGCTTGAAGTGGGGGCGCTGTTGGACCCTTGATGGGGCCTCCCGCCGCCTCCGAGCTGCATGACACCTTGGCAACGCTCGGACACCCCCCCCCCCCCCCAAATCGGGCACCCCCGTAATCCCTCCGTTTTATATCCGAGGCGGCACAGTGCACGCTGCACTAGGCGAGGATGGAACCACTCACGAGGTTCCGATAACACGTTCTCCATCCAGACTGTTGCACATATTCCGAACCTCGTTACCATACCTGCATTCCAAGAGTCTGACGGCGAACCCGAGGACCCGCGTGTATGAGACGGGTGAGACCATTGGACGGGGATGCGTTGTAAACCAATTGACCAAAAAAAAGATAACTAAAGATAACTAAACAACCTAGTGCATTCTTGGTGCGAGGCTGAGGCAAGAAGGGAGGATGTCCAAGACTCCGATGCGAGGATTTGCGTACCATTTATCATGAGGAGAAGAGATAAGTACTTAAGAGCGGGGCTCTACTAACTGCTTCATTACCAGAGACATGTTGCCAGACACCAGCTCCTCCGTTGTATCACTGAAATATTTCGTCTTACTGCACATCTGCCTGATCTTGCTCTATTTCCTCATATCCTTTGCCATCTCTGAACATGGAGTTCAAGTACTCTACAGTGATCGATCCCACCACGTACGAAACACACGGGTTGTGTGATGGGATCGATCTAAGATGTCATGAGAGTCCTGAGCTGGAGGAGATTGAGACATTGAGATGTCAAGAGAACTGGCGGGAATGGGTTGGTCCACTCGGGTTCTACAAGGGTGGTTTGGGGCCACGATGGAATTTCATGGCCATCACCGTTCCAGAGTGCTTGCCTGAGCGGCTCGGTGTGTTGGGATATGCCAACGAGCTTGCCTTCCTACATGATGGTCAGAATGTCCAATATCACACGGGAGTGAGTTGTTGTTGCTAATGCTTCTTTGCAGACGTCACAGATGTGGCAGACTATGTGAGTCCAGTGGTGCAACGGCTTCGACCTGATGGGCACTGACGAGAAACGTGCATCAGGGAGACATACATAACGATGATTTGAAAGCTGCCTTTGAAGAAGCCGCCAGTACTGGACGCATTGAAGGGTCTACCTCTGGAAAACGCGCGATTCAAGCCCACATCGCAAACGAGATGATGAAAATCCACAAACAGCATGCAATTACGACGCTGGAAGCGTGGGCCAAATTTGCAGAGCTTGGGTCGGGACGCCAGCACACCACCCACTTCAAAACAGAGAAAGAGTATATTAAGTACCGCATGATCGATATTGGCACGATGTACGTCTTTATTTCAAAATTGGTGAGTAGGACATCCATGGCATTCGAATCTGACATCTCGCAGGTTTTGGTATGGCATGGTCACTTTTGGGATGGGTATTAGCGTTCCCGAAGAAGAATTGGAGATGTGCCACGAGTTGGCTAACACTGCCTATTTGAATCTGGGCCTCACAAATGACCTCTACTCCTGGCAGAAAGAATATGAGACTGCAGTGGCCATGGGTCGAGACTACGTTGCCAATATAATTGGCGTTCTCATGGAGGAGCGTAAGGTCTCCGAGGAAGTGGCCAAAGAGATCTGCCGGGAAAAGATCAAAGTGACCATCGTCGACTTTCGCAAGATTGTCGCTGATACCAAGGCTCGAGATGACGTATCCGTGGACACGAAGCGCTATCTAGAAGGTCTGCTGTACAGTCTGAGTGGAAATCTGGTTTGGAGTATCGACTGCCCCAGATACCATCGGTGGTCTTCGTACAACGAGCGTCAGCTTGATTGGATGAAGAATGGCATTCCCAAGAGCCCCAAAGACCTTCCAAAATTCAATGGGGTGTCCAATGGGCTGGCCAATGGTACGGAAAAGATTGTCTCCAATGGACATGTGAATGGCAATGGTGCTGTCCATGTTCCAGCTACCAATGGTGTCACGAATGGGAATGGTGCCACTCATACCCCAGTTTCTAATGGTACTAATGGTACTACAGGGCTGAAAGATCCATTCAGCCTGGACGTCGACACTGACTTGGTGAACGTTTTTGCACGGAAGGAATACAAAGCTATCAGTGCCCCCAAGCTACATGAGGGAGAAGGATATCCCTCAGCGCTCAAGTTAGGACCGAATGGTGATGTTACCATCCAGAAAAGCCCGGAGATTGAAACCAGGGTCAGTACCGACATCCCGTTTCCATCGTATTCAGCCTGCTAACAAAAGCCGATATAGGTAATCCAAGCTCCTTACGACTATATTAGCTCTCTGCCATCAAAAGGAGTCAGAGATCAAGCGATCGACGCTTTGAATGTCTGGTGCCGTGTCCCTGCTGCGAAGGTTGACCGAATCAAATTGGTAACCAACATGCTTCATAACACTTCTTTGATGTAAGTTTCTAATCTGATGCCCGTCCAAGAATGCTAGCTAACAAGTAAACAGGTTAGATGATATGGAAGATGGCTCAACTCTTCGGCGCGGAAAATCATCAACACATACGATCTTCGGAGCTGGCCAGACAGTGAATGCGGCCAACTACCAGATCATTCGTGCTCTGGAAGAGGTGCAGAAGCTTGGGGACAAAGAAAGCGTGATGATTTTTACTGGTGAGTTGCCAGCCATTCTAGTCGTCAGAGGATGAAAATTGACTTGCTCTGGCAGAGGAATTGAAGAACCTCTATATCGGTCAGAGCTTGGATCTACATTGGACTAACAACGTGATCTGTCCGACTGTGGATGAATACTTCCGTATGGTGGAGCACAGTAAGTGTGGAGATATGGAAGCAAAGGTTATTGAACGCCATGGAGGCTAACAAGTGCGACAGAAACCGGTGGGCTGTTCCGGCTCTTCGGTCGCCTCCTATCACTCCACTCGACCAACCCGGTCAAAGCCGATCTAACCAGTCTTCTGGATAATTTTGGACGGTACTATCAAACGCGCGATGATTACTCCAACCTCACTTCTCCCGAGGTATGGCCTCAAACCCCCTGCTTTAGACTCCCGAATTTTTGTGACAAAATCAAATTAACCCTATTCTAGTACACTACGCAAAAGGGATTCTGTGAAGACCTGGATGAGGGAAAGTTCTCGCTTCCGGTCATCCATATGATGCTTTCCGCTCCATCCAACACTGTGATCCGCAATATCTGGACTCGGCGGTTGGTCAACACCCAGGCTAGTCTGTCGCATAAGCAGGCTATCCTGGAGCTGATGAAAAAAGGGGGAAGCCTGCAGTTTACAGAAGACGCGTTGGACGTTTTACACGCCCAGGTAGAGAAGAACATTTCCGACCTCGAGGGCAAGTTCGGGGCCCAGAACTTCCAGTTGAGACTAATCCTGGAGATGCTGCGGAAGAATTAGGAATTAGGGAGTTTCAGCCAACTTTTGGTCTCTGTTTTGGTTCATCTATTGCGTGTTTTTTTTTTTTTTTTTTTCTGGTCCCATAAATTGGAAATCTGTTTCCTGATGGTTTGCTGCTGGCGACACCATTGGTTAGTGATATGAATGCGTTCAGATCGGCGCCTGTGGTAGATGTAACTATCGGAACGTGAATATCAAACCCTACACGTTTTGGCACCGGATATAGTTAGTCTGACGCGGCACGTGCGTGCCGCGTATATCTAGCTAGCTATCCCCGTCCCCCTCGTTCTTGGGAGTCCTTTATCGAGAGTCTGGATTCTCTCCACCAGAAATCGAACTAGATCGAATAGCCCTCCTTGCAACTGTCCGCCTACGGCGTCTCGACCCTTATCACCCACTTCGAAGACGCGCAGAACAGATCTCTAGTAATGGCCGACAAACCAGCCGATTTGCCCGCCGTACACTGGCCCTCCCAAACTCTGAACAGATAAACCCTCTCCAATACGCTCCCTGGCACCCTCGCGAGCCTCGTGGGAATGCTCAAGCTCGAATAGGAGCTCCCATGGGACGCACTAAGGAACAGGCAGCGGCTAATTTCATGGCTTTTCAACGTACCATCCCTAGCTCAGATATTGTAATCTTTTCAGATGGATCTAGGCTAGCAGACGGACGTGCAGGGGGTGGCTATATTAGACTTCAAGCACACCATCAGTTCCTCCGCTCCTCACTCTCATACAGACACGGGAAAGAGGTCTTCGACGCAGAAGCAGAAGCAGCTCTAGCTGGCGCTCAAGCAGCAATAGCGTACCCAACAGCTCAATTTGCTACCAACCTATGGATCTGCCTTGACAACCTGGAAGTTGCTATACGCCTTCTATCTCCCTCTACAGGATCTTCCCAAGAAATCTTTGAATCCTTCCGCACCCTTGCAGCTGCCTGGCCACTTCGCAAAAGGCTTCCTCACACCAAAAGCGGATCTATCCAAATCCGATGGGTCCCTGGACACGCTAAAATCCCTGAGAACGAAGCGGCTGATCTCACTGCCAAAGAGGGAGCTGCCTCAACCCCTCCTGCTCCTCAGAAATCCTCATACGCCTCGCTAAAGAGACACGCCAAGACTCAATCCCTATCCGCTGCTCAGTCACAATGGCAGAAGGTGGCACCACAGAGTTATCAAGATCTAGAAATAACTACTTCTCCTAAGCGCCCTGGGGAGCTTCAACTCAACCGACTTGACCTTGGCCGTATTATTGCGGCCCGTACTGGTCATGGAGACTTTGCAGACTACCATGAACGCTTTAATCATGATGATGCTTATCTTCTCTGTTAGTGTAGAGCACGAAAAGCACCTCTACATTTCTTCTTCTGCCATATAGCTAAGAGACGAGCTCCTCGTCCACCTGGACCCCCTTCTGAAGTTATCTCTTTTCTTTTAGGTACTGCGAAAGGAACACGAAAACTAGCCTCATGGCTAGCAGAGACCCGTTTCTTTGAGGATATCTGTCCTCGCCAACCTCTCCTTAGCACCTAGCTAAGTCAGCCCTACTTCCCCCTTATATCTCTCTTTTCCTTCGTTCTTTCTTTCTTTCTTTCCTTCTTTCCTTCTTCCCTTTTTCTTTTCAAACTCACTGCTTAAGTATGATAGTGGTAGAATGATGGGTCATGAAGCGTAGGTGGACCATTGCAGCTGGCAAATACCCAAAACCCACTAGGAAGTGGATCTCCCTTTAAGACCACGGCAGCTATGGAAATGCGCCAAAGAGTCTCTTATCTGTATATAAATCTGATAGGACCTGAAGCCCGAGGCTTAACCCTCGGCGGCCTATGTCCCAGTAGGGATCGGTGGGAAGCGTGCAAGTCACGAACCACGGCCGTTAAATATATACACACACACACACACACACACACACACCTCGTTCTTGGGGACAAGTCACAATATTAGGAATCAAGATATCTTCATATTGTCAGGCTCATTAGGCCGCTTCGTGTTCGCGCCTTACTACCGTCTATGCTTCGTGATACGGACCGTAGTTAAACCAACAGAAACTGTTGGCTCGGTTACATTGTCGCTTCGCTTACCGATTACGTTAAACAATACGTATAAGGAACTAGGTGTTGGTTTATAGGTGCAATCGAGATTCCTGGCACCGACGCGAACCAAGTGTTGGATATTTGATACGCTAATCCCAATCAGGATGTCATTACTAATCGTGATTCCTCGGAATAACGACATATCCGTGAGAACATGAGAGCCAAACTCAAGCCTACATTTTGGAGTCAGGATTGTCATTTATCCCGTAAATCCGTGATACTTTGCCACTATGATGTGTATATAAAGAGGATCAAGATGTGTAGTTAGCTATGTTTTAGAAGATGTGCAAATCAGAGTCAATTATTCCTCACCCAAATTGTACAACTCCTATCAGAGCCTAACCCCGTTCGGACTAGTACCCAAAGATTCCAATACCAAGGAGAGGTCACGTGAAGGTACACGTGACCTCGTCAAGCAAGGACTATATAGACCGCGTCGGGGCCTCATTAAGAGAAGAGAACAGACGATTGAATACATTTGACCATAGTACTTGGAGTACCACCTGAAGCGCGTGTACGGACGTACGTACATTGTTTTATTGGCTTTATAAGCCAACCCACACTAGGTCTATTTTCCGGCACTCCTCTCAAACCCCTATCTAGGAGTATTGAACCTGTTTTTATATACAAGTTTCCATAGAAGTGATATCACCAAAAGTCGACACTTGTGCAAATCGAACTTTCTAGAGATAGGCTGTAAAGTTGATTTGTAATGTTCAATATCGCGTCGGAATGTGATGCCAATTCTCGAAATTTCTTGATACGCAAATCTTGTCCTATTCCCAAATTGTTTTAGCTCATTCTGAGTTCCAACATCCAGATCTCTCAAGTCAGCAAATCTCACCATCTTCTGTATAGCCTCAGCACCAGCCGTCACAGGTGGGCGGGTCGCTTGGGATTTACGTTAGCTGAATCAGCTCTATCAACTCAAGCGGAAGTGCTTGAGCGGGTCAATGTGGAGACAATATGGGCTGATTGAGTTCGCGACGGGCCGTCCCATAATGTGTAAAAATGTAATCTCCAGTAGGTGACCTAGCGCTAGACTAGTGGACTACGTACGGAGGTGGGCACCAAAAGTGATGGGAATGCCAAGAGGAATCCACCGAACTAGTGGCTGTTAGCGTGTTTTAGTGATACAAATCGATACACCAAAATTACTATACAAATCTTGGTACATATAAAATATATTAGACATTACGAATTATTTCCAAACCGCTCATCTAATAAGATGCTTATTTGGGATATTTGAAGTTATACAAAGCGCTCCAATCCCCCAATATCCACCGCATCCTCCCAATCCCCCTCATCCTCCATATATGCCCGGAACGAGAGTACTCCTTTACGCCGGCAACGTTGACGCTGGTCTCCCCGGGGCCGCCCCTCAGCGTACTCATTCCCACCCTCCAAACGTATAATTTCTTGTATATGAAAAGGGATTCTCTCAATCCAGGCTTGTATACGATGCTGTGGCAGCTTTTCCCAAGCATTATACCATAGTTTTTTAGCTGTCTTTCGATCACCGGGAGCGCCTTGAAGAGTTGTACGGTTTTTTAGCCAAAACCAGGTGGGTTCGATAGCATTCAAATCAAGGGAGTTGCCAGGCCAAAGCAGTCGGTCAATCTCATGGAAAGAGTAAATCTCTTTTTGCTGGAAATGGGCATGCGCAGGAGCGTTATCTTCCATTATAATTGTATTAGGCCTTGAGCGTTGACATTCTTTAGCAAAAGGAAGTAGCTTTGGCACAAGAATCTCCTATATTACTATTAGTATAAGAATCATATTTATATAGAGAATAACTATACAGTTTGATAGCGATACCAATCAATGCCACCTTTGCTCTTTCGAACCAGCTTTCCATTTTTAGTAGTAAATTTGAATACTGGTTTCCGGCCACGGCGAGGCCGGAGCTCAAGATTTCTGATTGCTTGATTTAACTCCCATTCTTCTCGAGCTTTCATTTCTCTCGCTCGGTTTGCAATCTCTAACTCTTTCTCTGCCTTTTTTGCTGTTGCTGTGACGCTGGCCAATACCTTGCATTTGTTGCTAACTAGGTGAGCCTATCTACGAAGAATAACAAGCATGAAGAAGGAAAGAAGAAAAAAACACAGCGCCCCTCTACGCACAGCTCCTTCATATGATCCTTTGTGTGGACGGAACTTCCCAATACAGTACCGCTCCCAATATAGCATTGCTTAGGGCTCAAGCCCTATCTTGAGATAGCGGGAAAAGCCTCCTAGGATGACATTGTACGGAAAGCTCCGTCGCCAAGCCGTAGAGCTGTCAAGCCGCAGGGCTGGCTGTCACAGTTGCTGCATTCTCTGGATCATATATATGACAGGGGCCTTTGGCATCGTACGAAAAGCAGCCCCAAAACATGAATTCAGAAGCATTCTTATAGCGCCGGCGAATAACAGTGGGATCGTAGCATTCAAAAACCCTGCGCCAAACCCGATTAGAGCCCCTCCGGTGGCCTAGGATTACCGAGGTCTCGTCCGTCCATATAATATTTTTCCAGTCCTCTAGGGTCCAGTCTTTATGTGCGAGGGCAAAAGCGAGTCTTTTTCTTCTCATGTCATCAGTCAGACCAGGTTTCCAAGTTGGCTTGCATTTGCTAAAAGAATTCAATTTCAAAAGACGCAAAACAGAGGTAGTTGAAATACCGGCTTCAAAAGCAAGATATTCAGCAGATTTCTCACGTCCAGCGCGATCCTTGGTTACACTCGCAATAATAGAAGCCTCAATTTCCTCAGTTACCGTTTTGGGACGGCCACTGCGCTTCAAATTAGCAACGTGCTCATGCTCAATACGAGGATTAACCGTAGGGTCAAATCCTTGCAATTTAGCACGTTTTACGATGTTATAAACGCTCGTTTGAGGGATTTTAAGCATCATAGCAACGTCTTGTGGCTTCATTTTTGCAACCATAACCAAGGCCACAATCTGGGTGCGGAGTTCTGTTGAATGCTCTTCTCTTGTCATCCTGATCATAACAAGTGTACAAATTGGTGTCAAAACCAGTGTAAAGCGTATCGGCGAGGGTGGCATCCTAAATAATCAATTTGATTAGCGAATTAGTAAATGAGCGGTGTAATGGGATGAGATATTCACAATAATCAGTAGCGTTAGTACGATATATTAATATAAAATTGGTGGAAATAGCTTCATATTCGAAAAAGCAAAGAATCTGTTGAGTCGGGTGTTGAAAGTGGGTTACTTAGGTTTCCTAGTATTGACCAAGGTAATCTGAGTACCGAATTTTACGCGCTAGACATACGGCTAGCGAACTAGTGCGAATTAGCGTATTCCCATCACTTTTGGTGCCCACCTCCGTACGTACGTAGTCGATAAGCACTTGAGTACTCCACTGTGATGATGCGCTTATGCATGCATGCCATGCAGGCCACCCAACGACGATTCGCATGTGCTAAGTCTTGTTATCGCCCTGCATTGGCCTAACAGGAGCGTCGCGGAATACGGGAGGACCTACGGAGCATAAAGGGGAATATGATCTACGTAATGCCATCCCATGCTAACCTCCCTGAACTCTTAACACGCCACCGACCAGCAGATCCCTGTTCGGATCCCTGTTTGAACCCCTACGGACCAAAATACTGAACCACAGCCAAACTTCTGCACGATGCCGGACATAGGAAATAAGAGACTACCTCCGTATCTGCCGCCTTTCAACCCGGACATAAGAAATAAGAGACTACCTCTGTATCTGCGTCCTTCCGACCGTGACTCCTGCATGTCGCTTCCTCCATCAGCATCGAAGTGTTTCCCGTTGACGGGAACAAATGTCTTAAATTCTGAATCTTTCACGTCTTCGTTAGTCATGATTTCTCTTCTCTTGGCAGCTTAATACCTACCCACGGTCTCCACCCCCTTTTCTCTCCCTCGTCGGCACGAAAAGCACGCGGTAGCATGGTCTCGTCAACGTCGGATTTACGCGCGGTGGCGCCAGCAGCCTCAGCCTCAGCTGACTGCTCGCCTGGTGAACATCCCTTGAAGCTCTCTCAAGCCGGTTCTGGCTCTGGCTCCCTCTCCCTGGGGGATGAAGAGAAACAGGCGGTCGCTCAAGTCGGAGCGACCTCTACAGATCCTGCAGCGCCGGTGGCCTCGAATATTGTCGACTGGGACGGTCCCGATGACCCTGGAAATCCAGTCAACTTCAGTGGTCTGATTAAAAGCACTAATGTCGGAATCGTGAGCGCGCTGACTTTCATTACTCCGCTCGCATCGTCTATGTTTGCACCTGGTGTGCCTCTACTCATGGAGGAATTCCATACCACGAATACGCTGTTGGGCTCGTTCGTGGTGTCGGTCTATGTGTTGGGTTTCGCCATTGGACCACTCATTCTGGCGCCGGCCTCGGAGCTCGTCGGGCGAGCCATTATTTACCATATTTGCAATTTGGGCTTCACGGTGTTCACCATTGCATGCGCCGTGAGCACCGATATGGGAATGCTCATCGCCTTTCGGTTTTTCCAGGGCTGCTTTGGCTCGGCACCGGTTACAAATGGTGAGCGGTTTCTTTGTTCTGTTCGATGCCCTACCCTGTAGCTAGATCCGATGTACTGATACTCCACGCCCCCCGCTGTAGGTGGGGGTACAATTGCGGATCTGATCGTGCAGGAAAAACGGGGAGGCGTCATCGCCATCTATGCCCTCGGACCCTTGCTGGGTCCCGTCATCGGGCCAGTAGCAGGAGGGTACCTGACCGCAGCCAAGGGCTGGCGTTGGGTCTTCTGGGTTCTCACCATGGTGGGCGGATTCTGCACCATCGTGTCCTTGCTCTTCCTGCGCGAAACCTATCCCACCGTCCTCCTGAAGCGCAAAACGCAACGCCTCATCAAAGAAACCGGCAACACGAACCTCCGCTCCAAACGACACAACGGCCTCTCCACCAGGCAGCTCTTCCTCCAAGCCCTCACCCGCCCATTTAAAATTCTATTCTTGTCGCCGATCGTCTTCGTGAGTTCGATTTACGTGGGTATAGTCTACGGGTACCAGTATCTCATGTTTTCGACCTTCACTGAAGTCTTTGAGGAGCAATACCGATGGCCAACTAAATCCTCCGGTCTAAGCTTCCTGGGAATTGGCATTGGCTCGCTCCTCGGACTGTTCGTCATTGGCGCTGCATCAGATCGTATTCTCAAGGCCAGATCCAAGCCCACCCCGGAAGCCCCCTCAGGTGGCATGAAGCCGGAATACCGTCTGCCGCCGCTGGTCGTGGGTGCGTTCTTCATCCCGGCGGGTCTGTTCATGTATGGTTGGTCTGCGTATTACAAAACGCACTGGATCGTGCCAGTCATTGGCACTGCTATCATGGGAATAGGCAACATTGCTGTTTTCATGTGCATTACGAGTTACCTGGTGGATGCGTTCACGATCTACGCGGCCAGTGCGCTGGCTGCCAACACGGTCGTGCGTAGTATTATGGGTGCATTGTTGCCCTTAGCGGGACCGGCCATGTATAACTCGATGGGACTGGGATGGGGGAACAGTTTGCTGGGATTTATTGCCGTGGTGTGTATTCCTGTGCCGTGGGCGATGATTCGGTATGGAGAGAGGATGCGGTTGGCATTTGATGCGAGTAAACTATAAACAGGGCAGTTGAAGGGTAGATGTTGAGGAAATTCATGAGTGTCGACATAGTTCAAGCTTGACACGGTGTGTGTCCATACCTGTACAATAATCTCAGCTCAACAATAATATTTTTTAGTATATGTTGGGACACTAACCACTAGACCAAAAAGCTGCGCGCATACTAGATCAGCTGCCTAGTTAATTTAGACATACCTTCTCAGATAAAGAGTCTAATTATCTCCGTTGTTCTCGTCTCTAAATGGTAGCGTAGCTATGGCCATATCGCCCGTTCTCTTCAGGCCTGTCATTCTGATGTTCTTCTCCGGATCTCCCACTCTGATCGCCTCGTCTTCCACTTTCACCTGAGCAATCCTCGTCGTCCTTGCCACGCCCTCAATGCTACCCACTGCAACGGCTGTCTTTCTTCCCGATTCATCAAGAACCCATTTCATCGGCCCCGGTGGCAACTTCCCCTCGTCTTTCCACTCTAAGCCAGATTGAATCCTGACATCCAAGTCGAGCGGCGTGCCATGCTCCCAGGCAAACTCCCCACCAAATCTACTCGGAATACTCTCCGCATCAATATACTTCGCCAGTGTTGGCATCATCTCGCTTGCCGGCACAATTACCACCTTGTCCACTGTCCCCGGGTCTAGCCATTTCCTCATAATACCCCACATCCATCCAAAATATAACGGAGCATTCAGGACCTGAGAAGGCGCTATTAGTTCCCGTGCTATCAGCGTGTATGGGAAGCGGAAGAAAAGGAAACGAAAAAGAAAATTTCCACGGGAGACACACAAAAAGCCGATCAATAATCTCCGGATACCCCATCATTAGCAATTGTCCAATATCACTGGTATAGTTCTTGATATCCCAACCCTGTTTCATTGTGAAGGCACTAAGGTCCACGAGATATATTGCGCTGGTGATCGGGACGCTAGGCCGCGGTCGGTCCTTCATCACGCTACATAACGGGAAGACAAAGCGGGTAAGATAGTCGTGAGCGATACTGGCTCTCTGGGTCGCAGTCATGCTCGTATCTTTCCCCAGGGAGGTAACGCGGGTCTTCTCATACGCGGCGAGAGTCGATCGATTAAGATGTCCAAAGTCAAACAGGCATATGGGGAGGCCTTTTTTTGTTCGTCGGCCGGACCAGTGGGGGTACTGATCATATTGGTGCCCTATTGTTTAGAAGAGGTGTCCGTGGCTTCTATAATACTGGGAGGGCTGTGGTGGTAGTACTCACGAGAAAGCGTGCGGTCTCGAATTCCAAGACGTCGATTTCATTGTATTGTATCGGAATGCGGTTGTTTCTATGCGTTATTGTGGCTTGTTGGAACTGCTTCAGGGATTGATGGGGATCGAAACGGCGGGCGCGGAGGTACCGTCTAGATTCGAGTTAGAGGCATGGTTCTTCAACGCATTCGAGAATACTGGGCTGGGGGATGGGGGACGGACAGGAGAGTGGTTTCATCATTCAGCCCATCCTGTGCCTCGTTTTCCGACAGGCCCGCTGGTCGAGCCAGAAGTCCTCCTTCATCACATAGCTTCCAGAAAGTCTCGAGGGCAGACAAGTGCTGCTCGGCCAAATTGTAGAAGATCTCGGTCTGGATCGCCATTGTAGTGAACAAAGAAACGAAGGCTAAAGTCTAAAGATTGGAGGGCAAACCAACAGGGTTAATGTCGAAATTGAAAAGGGTAGAAGCAATATAACAGAATATAATGGAGTACGGAGTAGAATGGACCACGTATGTTATATTACCCCGCGACGTTATATTACATGATGCGTACGAAACGAGAGCTAATGGATGGAGGGTGTCTGCAAATCATATAAGGAACGTCACCTGGCGCCTAATAACTAGATATGGTAGGAGTTTTCTTTCTCCTTCCTCCTTTCCTGCGGGTGGTGCCTGTCCTTACTTTTTGAGGTGGGCTCTTTGGCCCAGAAAATCTCAATAAGCGATATCATCTGTGACGGCTCAGCCCTAGCTTTCGGCTTGGCGTCATTTATTGATTGGGAATCCTTTGAATAAAGGTCTCCATCAATAAATGTGATATCAATCGGCATTGTCATTTGTTATTGATACGCACTGATTCCCTATTGAGATGCGGGTGAGGCAACAGAGGTTTGTATGAGATGGACGTTACTATCAATGAGTAAATATGGGTAGAGGTTTAAATACGGGCTGTTCCTCCTTGATAGATAGTTTTCCTCTTCATACTCAGTTTCTCGTCAGCACTGGCACCTAGATAGTGAATATCACTTGGTTGGATTGGTCGTATGTTACATCATCGGCACATAACCGTCCTGGCCAGTTGTCGATTGCAGGCGTACAGCTCCTGACGGCGTAAGCCTCAACTAATAATCACTCACCCTTGGTCGGTTGTTACACTAAGCCCATGCTGATGAGGCTTAGTTCTCTTGTGAGCCATGAGGATTACGGCGTTCACCGAACTTATTGTTTGACTAATGGGGAGAACATTAACTATGCATTACCTGGATCAGATTTACATTACCCTTGTCTCAACACCAAACCCTGCTGGCGAAGGGCGGCTTCCCGGGAATCTATATCGGGACCAAGGCAAGCTGTTGAGATGATATTGCTGCCTCGGGCATCCTATCCAGGACCCTTAGATAGTTTCAGTCCTTAGTTTCCTTTTTCCTCCTCTCTCTTTCCGTTCTGCTCTGGTTCTCTCGAGTAGATCTTCTCCTTTCCCTTTGATCTCAGGAGCTCGTCCTCGCTCACGAGACCGGCGATCTCAACACAAGCTGGACCAGGCAGCGCAGATGTACATATGGGCGCTAGCCGGGAAGGAGAAGATGAATACTGCTACTTGCCACTTTCAAAGATGATCTCATGTCAGTAACATGTAGTAAAATACTAGTAAATTATTCTGATGGTGAATGGAGCCAACAGAGAAGTGCAGATTGTCTGTTGCCCGCCCTCCCGGGGTATTACCTAGCCTCATAGCCTGCATATAGAAAGCCTATCGGAGGTCAATACGACGGTTACGACCATCCAGACCCTATAGAAGGCAGTAAGATGATTCTGCACAGGTTTTCATTTGGAGGTAGATGCGTCTATAAAAGAGAACGCGAGTAGCCCCCTAAAGTTGTTCAAGTCCACAGAAAGCCAACTTCCCATCTTCCACATACACACCACAGCTACAGTCTACAGTCTACAGCTACAAAATGGGGTCTATCTTTCCTCCTGGAGGCCTTGTCCTCATCACTGGGGTGAATGGTTTTCTCGCATCTCATTTGGTCTTAGAACTTGTCGAACGGGGATACGCAGTCAGAGGCACCGTACGAAGCACTGAGAGCGCCTCCTGGATCACAAAGGCAGTCAAGACACGTTACCCCACGGGCAAATTCGACGTCCTTGTCGTGCCCAGTCTCTCTGCACCGGGTATTATGGATGATCTCATCAGAGACGTCGATGGTATCGCCTACGTGGCCGCCGATACCAGTTTGAACGCGGACCACACCCAGGTCATCCCACCGGGCCTCGAGGCCCTGCAGGCAGCTCTCGAGAGCGCCGCCCGAGCCCCCTCAGTGAAACGCTTCGTCCTCACAAGCAGTTACACTGCCGCTGTGGACACATTGGAAGTGGCCCCGCAGCCAGGGTCAGAGGTACGCGTCAGCAAGGATAGCTGGAATGAGACCAGCAGCATCCGAGCTCGGACACCCCCACCCTACAGCCCCATGCATGCTCTCGTTGTGTACCAGGCTCTCAAAACAGAATGTGAAAGGCTGTTTTGGAAGTTCGCTAGTGACGAGAAGCCCGGATTTGTCCAAAATTCCGTGCTTCCCGGGTTTGTTATCGGGCCAATTGTCCACTCTCAACAACGGGGCAGCACGTCGGCCTTGGTCAAAGGGTACTTCGATGATCCCAGCAATAATCAACAATTAGCGTGGATTAGCGCTCCGTGGGTCGTTGACGTGGCCGATAACGCCTTGTTGCACTTGGCCGGGTTGACCGACGAGGCCGTCCGGAATGAGCGTCTACTCGCTCTGGCGGACCCGTACGAGTTGCGCAACTTTGGCACGGCCTTTGAGCAAATCGATCCCACCCGTCAATGGCCCGCCCCTGCCAGTGAAGCGACTAAGCAGGCGGGCAGTAAGTGGGTTGCTGATACGAAGAGGTCTGTAGAAATCCTGCAGCAGTTCGGGCAAGCGGAAGGCTTTACGCCGTTTCTGGAGAGTGTGCGAAGGACATGCCTGGAGAGTGATCCGAACTGGAAGTTTCGGCCATTTCCGCAGTGAAGATCATCCTGGCTCATGTTCTGAAATGCGAAATCAACCGCAGCCTACAGCCCATTAGACTTGTGGCGCTCATGCAGGGTAGGTCCTTTGTAACCCCATCGACTAGGGCATTTGGTATACGAGGCAGCTACAGGGATATAGTCAGCCAATCCGATCTATCTACTCCGTACTGGTGAATAAGTACGTATATGTATATCTAAATCCGCAGACCCTCTTGAGTCTTGGCGCGCTAGATGAACGCTCGGCCGTGAGCGCCCACTCTAGCAGTCTGAGCCGAGCGGCGAGAATCCGGCGTCCAGACATAATCTATTTAATGCACGTACACTACCACCACCGCGACGTGTGCACGGACTTGATTGAGGGGTTTGGAACGGACGCGGTCTACGCGGTAACGCACTCTGACCCTAACCCCAGTCACCCCGGTCTAGGGTTATCGGATGCGCACGGACGAAATTTAAAGATCCCGACGGGATCCGTTCGACAATTAACCCAGTACAGATTCCTTGTTGCTATGAACTCCTGGATTGTATATATTGTGAATATGGATGGTTCCATGGGCGGCTGTATGAAGTGTCAACATGCTTAGATCTCTATTGTGGTATTAGACCTCCCATGTGGCTGGATCTAGCCCTCTATTGACGTAGAAACAGATACCGCTCCGCACGAATTTTCGAACTGTTCGAAATTCGCGAATATCGACGAATCGAATCGAATTCGAACCTTGATTTTCGAACTTCGAATCCACGGGCAATTCGATTCGTCAAAATTCACGAATTTCGAACAGGTTCGCGAACTATATCCCTGGCTTTCTTACAAAAACAAGCTTTTGGGGACCATTAATCCTAAAAAGAAAGCTTCAAATTTATAAATAACTCCAAATACGCTAATTACGCATATAATAAACTATTCAGACTTCCAGCGTGCAGCGTCTTTCAGCCTTAATAAAGTCCCAAGAGTCCTACCATTCATAGAGAAGTGTCGGATTCCTAATATATCTCTCCCGCCATTGAACAATCTCTCTACATCTACCTCTGCTGCTGGTATAGCAAGGTGATCTTATGCTACCTTGGCCATACAAGGAAATTCAAGCTTGTTGGCCTTCCACCAGTTTCTTATAAACTCAGTCTGACTCTGGTTTGGATCAAAACCAGTACTAATCGTAGGAGTATCAAAATATTGGTCGATATCTGACTCAGAAATGTTATACTGGGTAGGCTGGAATGGCTCTAGAAAACGATATTCCAAGCTCTTATAATTTGCACTAAGAGCAGTCGATATAGGCTTTTTTTGTGCAGGATATGCTTTCTTCAGAAAAGCCCTGATTCGGACAATAATCTTCTCTCCATCTGGTAACATTTTGAGCCACTTAGTCTTGATTCGAGGGTCTAGAATGCTTGCAATATAGTATATATCATTGCATTTAACATAGTCGTAATACCTTTCCAGAAGTGAGATTCCATCAGAAACAAGAATAGTTGCTTCAGCTGAGAGATTCTTCCAGTCGCCCCGTCTTTCCCTGATAGCTAACAGCATAGAATTGTCGGATTGGTCGGTTTATTCCAGGCCAATCCTGAAGAGTGTTTTACTAGGATCAAAGAAAAGAAGTGACTAGCAAGATTGTATGTATTGAGTTCTGTGTCTGTCTTTCAAGTTTTTAAAGCCGGGTCCTTTATAGACACCTTTGGCGGGGTGATTTGTGAGCTATCAGGAGGGGTAAATATTGGGCTGAAATCTAGGTGCCTAGATATATGCCTAAAAGTGCCTTTTAGACCTGTAAGATTGAACAGTCGATCTTTCTACCTCGTTTGAAAGCCGGATTATCTGACATACCCCCTCAGCTGCAGAAAGCAACTGCTTGCAAAGCTGGAATAGCTTCATAAGTTGTCGGGCACGTCATTAAGAGAAAGTAATTCTTCGATATCTGGGTTCTCCATATCCTTTTGCTAGGGAGTGAGATAGCTATCGATATCCTCTACTCCAATTTGATTGAGGAACTTTTGGTGTTCCTATTTGCTGAGTGCCTTGGTCAGGCTGTTGGCAATCATATCTTTTATGGGCATGTAGTGCACTTAGATGTCTCCCTTCTGCACCTCTTGTTGTACCTAGTGATTATGAATATCGACATGTTGGAGCTTCGTATACAGTCGCGGAGCGTCCTTCTCTAGCAATCCTAGAGTTTGCTGGTTATCACAGAAAACACGAAGAGTAGATGTTCTAAAATGTATCTCTAACTCTAGAAGCAATTGAAGGACATATTTGCCTTCTTTCACCCCCTAAGTGAGAGCTAACAGTTCAGCTTCAATGGTTAACATTGTTACTGTATCCTGCTTGTTCGCTTGCCATCCTATCGTTCCACTAAAAAGTGTCATGATGTATGCTTGCGAGCTCTTACAGTCAAGTGTATTATCTGCAAAGGAGGCGTCTATTGATACTGAATAATCTTCACCTCCTCCAAGCCTCAAAGCATACACACGATGATGTTTAAGGTAGCATAAAACCTTGTCAGCAGCTTAATGGTGCTTTGGTCTGGGATTTAACAAGAACTGTGAAAGCCGTGAGATGGCAAAAGCCATGTCAGGTCGAGTGCTTACTGCCACGTACATGATTGAGCCAACTTTCATTGATATTGATGGTTACTTTTATAGGTGGCCGTTCCTTTGTATAGGAGTAATTCTTCTCAAGCCATTGGTGTGTCGTCAGTTTGTCGAGTGTCGGCTAACTTCGCAATTTTATCAATATAGGTGGCTTGACTGAGCCAGATCACCTTATTACTTTGATCCCGTATAACTCTTATACCTAGGAACCACTCTAGGTCTCCTCCTCCGGATATTTTGTATTTGGCACGAAGTTGGTTCATGACTGAGTCAGCTTCTGGTTAGTGGCTCTTCTTATATACGATAACGATATCGTCTACATAAAAGAACAGTATGATCCCAGATTTCAACATGCAACACGGTTCGTGAGGCACTATTTTGAAACCTAACTCTATAAGGGTGCTGGTAAGTTCCTTTTGCCATAGAAGTGGTGATCTACGCAATCTGTAAAGAGCCTTGTTCAGTTGATATATTTTTCCAGACTCACGATATCTAGGAGCCATTCTCATAAAGATCTCTTCGTCCAGTATGGCATTAACAAAGGCATTGACAGTGTCATATTGCTTAAGTTCCAGATTGAAGTGCGCAGCAATAGCCATAAATATCCTAAAAGATCTCGCAGCAAGAGTAGCAGCATACGTGTCCCTTGTATCATCTCTTTTCTCTTGATCACCTCTTACCATGAGTCGTGCCTTGCACTTGACTAGACGACCTTTCTTGTCCTGCTTATAGATATATACCCACATACAATTGAGAATCTGCTTTCCTTTTGCCTTACCGATAGGCACCGTTGTCCAAGAGCCAGATGGATTATGACTTTTAAGGTGATCTCTCTCAGCCTCCTTAAATAACCAACCTAAAGGATGTTTTTCCACTTCACGGTGACTCTTGGGAGCAGGCGGTAGGTTGCGGACTAGAACTGACTGAAGTCGACGTCCTGACCTTAGACGTTGTTGGAGGCTCATGTGATCAAATTTGACTGTGTTCACCTCATACTGACGATGTCGTGTGCCTGCTAGAAAAGCAAACCTCCAAGGATTGAGCTCTCCTCATTGCGTAGTCAAAGCAGCGGCGACGGTTTTAACAGGAGCCTCTCTAAAGTCTACCCCGTTCTTCTCAAGCGACCCTCTGGGTCCGTCCTCAAGGATATGCCTGCCATGAGCCTCTCTGAGACCTACTATGGAGTCACGCAGATTGGGCGACCCTCTGGGCCTGTCCTCAAACTCAGCATGCGATCCTCTGGACCTGACCATGCCTACATTATCAAGAGCCCCTCTGGGACCTTCCTTGGTAGTTGCTTCCTGAACAAGCGACCCTCTAGGCCTGACCCCGCCAGTTGACATTCCAGCTACGTGCTTAGAGCTCTGATGGAGGTTGAGGTCATTTTTATAGACGATAGTTATGCTAGCCGCCAACAGTGCGCTCGGAGGCATATCTGGAGGTGTAGGATAAGCATATTTATTAATCCCCTCTAACAATCCTTCTCCTAGCTCAGAGATGGGCCGCTTGGATAGTCCGAATCAAGCTGACTTGAATCTTCAAATCCAGAACCAGTCACTGAGCCTGTTGTTGTTGTACGCTCATCATTGTGCCTATTTCTGTCAAACACCAAATCCTCCATCTTATCTCTAAAGTTAGCATTATCTTTGACTTCACCTGACTGTACTTGGATATCTATCTTATTCAGCAAGATTGTCAGTTCTTCAACAGACACATGAAGGAGATCATCCTTAATATCTTGGATATCTTCACTAAAGACTTCATCCTTGTTAAAAATAACGTCCCTTGCTCGCACGATCCTCCCTGTCGAAGGATTCCAAATCCTATAAACATTTGTTGAGTCATATCCAACAAGATAGTCTACCCATGCTCGCAGATTGAAGCATTGAAGTCGATTTTTCTTGAGTTGATACTCCGATGTGAGGGTATATGCTTTATAGCTATATACCTTCAGGTGAGCAAGCTGAGGTTTCTAATCTTGTATGCAAATTCTATTTTGCAAAGTAACATAAGTATGGAACCTATCGTATAGCGTTTTCCAGTTGTACATGAACTTTGGGGTACAGTTATAAAGATAGATTGAGGCTTGGTATATTTCTGACCATAAATCCATAGGTAACTTTGCATCATTTCTTATGGCCCTAGCCTTATCCTTGATGACACCCCCTGAGCGCTCAGCGGCACCGTTTTATCCTTGATTATTTGCTGTTAAGGGCTTGATAGTAACATGTTTAGTAATCAGCCACTCCTTTACCTCAGATTGGTGTAAGAATATCTTATTATCCATCTCAATCTTGATTGGACTAACATCATAGTGCTTTTTCAGATATTCAAAGAACTATTTCAGAGTTTCTAAGATCTCTACGCTTTTGTGCGATGTCATATAAAAGTCCCAGATAAAACTGCTAAATCGATTGGTTATAAGCATCAATGTCTTTTCTCCATTCATTAAGCTTTTCTAAAAGTCATGAAAATTAATCGCTAGATACACGCCAGGTCGTTCCACAATATTTCTTTCTTCTTATTGTATAATTCGTCTGGCTTTTGCCCTTCCATAGGCTTTGCACTGTACAGTGGTAGGACCTTTAGATAGGCTAGTCACTCTTACACCTTTTGTCATTGTGGCAAGGTGTTTGATAGCTTGGGGTCTAGGATGGCCAAGGCGAGCATGCCATCTCTTAGCGTTAGCTTTTCGTTCTTTTCTGACTGTCCACGAATTGAAGCGGTGCCGTCGTATCATGAAGGCCATTTTTATGAGAGGATGGTTGTTGGCGATATGTTCGAGTACAAATTGACCTTCCCTCTCTTTTATATATGCAAGGACTTAATTTTTCTCGTTCTAAAGGCAGTTGAAGCCTCTTCTGATGTCCCACCAGATTCCATGCTTTCTTAGTTGTTGGAAAGACACCAGGTTTGCCACAAAGTCCTTGCAGTATGCCATATTATAAAGGCGCAGAATTTGAAGTCTTCCACCAAGGCTGTGGATTTCGATATCCACTTCTCCATATCCTAAGACAGGTACTTGGTGGGTGCCTGCCCATAGGAAGTCTCCTGCTGTTGCTTTCCGGAAGTTCATAAACCTTTCTATCTCATTGAAAACGTGAATTGATGACCCTAAATCCAATAAAGCTGAATGTTTTAAAGGATATTCGTTAATTGACAGTGCAGCCAAATCCTTTTCTATGTGAATATAGCAGGTCGATTTGCAGCTGCCTACTGCCATCTTAAAGAGTTAATTTGAACTTGCTGTTTCTCCTTGGAAAGTCACCTTATTCTGAGTATTTTGAGTTATAGGTTCTCATCGCTCTTGGGATCAACTTCTAGAGCGAGATCGTTCTTTCCTTTGAGAAGGAGCTTGTCCCTGTTCTTTGGTTAGTACATGTCTTACCTCTTTTGCTAATGGTGCATTGCTGTTGAGCCATCTATTAGCTCTTTGTTAAAGCTAAAGTCTTGGCTCAAACTCTTGAGGAGCCTTATAATCAAAAATATAGAAGCAGAAGTTAATAAAGTGCATGTCTCCGCATGTAGGGTAGGTTGGTTTAGGTCCACCTCTTTTATCTAGAGCAAATCTGCTGCGCTGTCCTCCTTTAAATGATTGTAATCGCAAACATTGTCAATCATGCTCTATAGCTCTCTCTCGCTGCAAGCTTTCTTCATTTTCTTCTTCGCTATCGTCGCTCTTACTCAGATGAGTGGCAAAAGAGCTTTTTATTATATAGGATTGTTATTTTGTATGGAGTTATGGGATAAGTCTCTGGAAGCCATTTGACAGATCCTTATAGGTAAGAGATTTGTCATTAATCTTTAGATCGATTGAGTGCTCAAAAGACGTTACCCACGCCTCATCTAGTGGTCGAATAGCTTCGAGAAACCTAGATGCCCAGTCCTCTATATCTTGGGCAAAGGACATGGATTTCTTCTTTCCTTGAAGCATGATTTCTTCCCACTTGATTAACCAAGCCTCCAGATCTCGCGGAGTGCCTCTGAAAGGTTTCATGTGCTGGTTATAGTCATCTTGTATTTGTCACTAGATTTCTTGTGATCCTTGGCCAACTTGTATCTTTAAGTTATTGTATGCTTCCTTCTAACTATGTGTCACGTGCACACAGGTCTTAAGATAGCTATGGCACACTATCCACTTCATCTATTCAAAGATTTTATCGATGTCTCTACACTGAACCTCCCACTCACTAAACTCTATTTTGTAGTTATTGAGACATAGGTTGAAGTCATTTCTTGCCCTCTGTTCAGTGCGATCATTAGTTGTATCTTCAGTCGTGGTGATTTGGGTTGATTGAGCAGAGTTCTGACGTGTTCCTTGAGCTGCACCTACACGGTTTTATGTAGTGTTCTGGGATTCAGGTAGATAGTCCTGTATCTTTGGTCGAACAGGTTTCTTGATTGGTCTCTCAGTTCCCTGGAGAATGGGAAGAAGATCATTGGCTCTGGCCTGATTGAGAAGTTCGTTTTGCTAATTGTCCCAATCCTCTGGGGAATTGAGCTTATACTCGGTGGCAATGTTAGACAACATGTTGATATAGAGCTGGTAGGGGTAGTCAGACTCTTAATTGTCGGATTGGTCGGTTTATTCCAGGCTAATCCTAAAGAGTGTTTTACTAGGATCAAAGAAAAGAAGTGACTAGCAAGATTGTATGTATTGAGTTCTGTGTCTGTCTTTCAAGTTTTTAAAGCCGGGTCCTTTATAGACACCTTTGGCGGGGTGATTTGTGAGCTATCAGGAGGGGTAAATATTGGGCTGAAATCTAGGTGCCCAGATATATGCCTAAAGGTGCCTTTTAGACCTGTAAGATTGAACAGTCGATCTTTCTGCTCGTTTGAAAGCCGGATTATCTGACAAGAATAGAGCTCTTCATATAGACGCGCAGTCATATGAATTGAAGGGCTATCTCGAGAGATATACTCAGTATATTTGTTAAAGGGAGCCAGAATTTTCTTGATATCAGAGAGCTGCCTCCAATTGTCAGATGTAAGACATAAGGCTTCAATTTCTAGCTCATCATTGACTGTATCTTCAAGCTGCCGACGGCACTCTTCAGCTCTCTCAATCATGATAAAAGTAGAGCTCCATCTAGTATTAACGTCGTAGTTGATAGCTTTAGTGCAGCCAGGCCGATTATCCCACTTCTGTATTCGCTGAGGAGATCATGCAATCCAAAGGACAAGTATTCGAAGCTTTACAATAGGTGAATAAGGCACCTTAATCTTCTTCCAACTCTGCTTAGCAACATCATTAAGAAGATCACAGGCTTCTTTATGCGAACTAGCACATAGAGACTTTAATATAGCCTTCATAACCAAGTTCAAAATGTGAGTAAAGCAGCGGATTTGGAAATTTTGAGTAAATTTCATCGTTCCTTCTCAAATGATAGTCTCTGTTAGATAATCATCATAGCTCTGAGATAACTTCTAGTGAAGATATTGGTGTAAAGTATCATTATTAGATGCATTATCAGCTGTAATCGTTATAACTTTATCAGATATATGAAATCTCTAAAAAGCTGTAGCTACAATATTAGCTAAGTTTTCTCCTGAGTGGTTTCCTTCAATTTCAATAAATTCAATGCAAGCTTGATATTGCTAAAAATCAGAGGACATCCAGTAAGCATTAATTGCTAGCATTGGCAGTGAATTCTGACTTATCCAACCATCAAGAGATAGCGCTATTGAGGAGGCTAAAAACATTAAGCCTCGTAATTCACTATCAACAGCGTCAAGCCGAAGACTTAATCGACGTGAGATAGTATCTGCACTTGGTATAGAGTCCTGGGACCCAGCAGATCTCAACATAATCTTAAATGAAGGCTGTTCAACGCATGTAAATGACTAGGAGATTAATATAATCCAATTTAAGAGAGCTTCCTCAAATGGAAGCTTTTTTTCCTTCGAAATCCATGAACTTAATGGTCCTTAGCAATCTGAAAGACCATCTTTTGAGAGCTTATGAGTCTGCTAGAGATGCTATTTTAATGCTATAGTTAAAGATCATAGTTTAGATGCAAATCGAAAGAATCGACACATAGATGGTAATACAACACATAGATGTTTGAGCTCAGGCCATTCATTATTCCCTAGTTTCCAGGTACTAGGTTCAGGTGTTGTTAAGAAGTATTTCCAGATCCAGCTCCGCTCTCTTGGCCTAGCCTCATCTCTCTGCTTGATTTCAATACTCCTAGCCTCGCATTCCACCTGAGATATTGACTGCGAAGGGTGTATTTCTGTATCAAGGTTTGATAAGCTCTGAGAAACATTACTGTCAGCCGCTAGAGATCCTGAAATCCTAGTGCTAGGCGATTTTGTAGTATAGACTACTTTCTTTTTTCTAGATACTGGAAGTGATATATCCCCTTCAAAGAGACCATGTTCGTTAAGGGCCACATAGTCGCGTTTTTTAGTATGGGGAAGTTCGAATATTGGAGCAAGTGGAGAAGTCATCTGGAATACAATATTAGTATATCCATCTTGTGCCTTGATTAATCACTTACTTTAGTTATATCTCCTTCAAAAGTGCTGGTTTTATGACCTTCAAAGCTGACGGTTTGAACTTGTTATGGATAAAAGCGCGTATTCGTGGAGACGTGTCCGCGTGGTTTATCCGCTAAGCCTGATTAATACTATTCTTTTACTGCACCTCAGTCCTCGACAATACTATGTATGCAATTGTTGATATTTTCACTCTATATTCATTTATTACATGTAAATAAGTGTGATCTGTCAGTTAATTTAATTTGAAGCAATATAGACTTAAAATAAGGCTTTCGTGATGTTCCAGGAGTTCAGGAGTAGAAATGATATATTCCTGAGATTGACGTTTTGGAGTAAAAAATGATTTCTGTTCATATTGCCTGACAACTTGTTAGATTCAAGGAAAACTATGTAAAATTTTTGTTGGTTTAGCTACGTCCCGTATCACGAAGCGTAGGATATCGTAAGCTAGGCGATCCAACTGCCCTACGTGGTGAGCCTTGCTATATAGCACGAAATGTAATATTAAAAAAGACTGACCCCCGAAACTAGGGGGGGGCGGGGTGCCTAGATACATTATATGGTGTTGGTCGCTCTAGCGCACGGAGAATAGTAATCCCGACCAGTTCGCGTACGAATTGACGGCGTGCTACAGCGCCGTATAGTGATTCGTAAGATCGCTATTCAAACAATTTTATATCCTAGAATATTTCTAGCTTAGCTCTCCCTATATCTCTTATTTAATAAGAGTTAATTGTTAAATTGTACGCGGTATTGCTATATATGTAAAATCGAGTACGTTGCTGGACATGGTGTTGAACAAAAGTACTGCCGAGTATCTCTTACCGCCTTCCCAATTGGGACTAGATCAAATAAGTTCGCGAACCTCGAATCGAATTCGAATCGACTGTGGGTTCGAATTCGTACGAATAGTCATATTCAGGATTAATTCGAATCGAATCGAATTAGGAAAAAGTTCGATTCGATTCGATTCGTACGGAGCGGTAGAAACAGACTCGTGGGCGTTTCTCGTATTCCTCCTTGGGTGTTGGCTGCAGTAGGATATAGAAGCTGCCCTTGAGCGCTAGTAAGTATGTTATTAGTGGGTCGATATGTTTGTTGATGTAGGGTTCCTGGATAGCCAGGATATCATAATTTTGCACCTTGCTCTCACCAAAGAGATATATCTGGACCTCATCCCGCGATTTCCAGTAGTTAGCCTGTAGGATTTGTAGTTGATTGGCGTCACGATGCATTACTGATTGTTAGCCCAGGTGCTGTCTTCAAGGTTCATGGTTATTATTGTATCAGCCTCCTGAGCTAGCTCAATTGGCTTTTCAGGAGCTTCATGGATTGACGGCTAGCTGAGCTCATCCTCAGATGAGTTATTATCTTGGATCGTATGTATGCTCTTGCTTCGGGGAACAGTCCTAACAGCTTCCACATGTAAGACCTCCAATGAAGCAATATCTAATTGCAGAACTGGGGTTCCTGGTGGAAGCTTCGTATTCTGACGTGCACGTGTATTTTGTATATATTTAATCTAGGTCTCAGGCCCTGCCTTAGGATCAGGATTAGGATCTACATCTATGACTAGACCCTTCTCCCACTGCGCTCTCATAGGCTTCTTCGAGGATCTATTGGTGGGATCACCTGATGTAGGGCTTATTAGCTCGGGTTCAGATCGTTCTGCCACTCGCTTTTGAGCGGCTGCCGCGCTCTTACTTCTCGAGTTGGCAGATCGACATGTGGTGGCTGCTTCGGCTGGTGTAGGGTCGTTTGGTGAGATGGCTCCTGGTCAGGTATTGCCAGGTCGTATCACAGGAGTGTGATATTGTGGGCCGTATGTACGTCGTTGGTGCGCCTCTGCGAGGCACGTAGCTCGTATTGGGTACTCCCTCGCGTACGCAAAGTGTTTCGTATCGAGCCTCTTAGCAGG